CCAAATGAGTGCCTTTCAGCCAGTGAATTTACCAGGCAAATGAGGAGAGGAACAGTGAACCACACAACAGAGACAGTATTTCATTTATTGTTTATGTTTTTTAATGGGTCTTAATTTTGTTTCTAATTGTATTCATTGCAAAATACCTTGGGATATAAAAAAATAAGTGGGATAAAACATTGCAAATTTCAAGTTTTTAGCTAAAGCTAGAAAATATATCCTATGATACAATTCAATACAGTTAAATTTAAAGGGCTCATAATTTTATTTCATGTGAGATTTAAATATATGTAATCCCTTTGATTCCCAATTCCTTGAAAAAGCTGTACAATTAACTTTCTCAGGCTTAATTTATGCCTCTTGCAGATCCATTTACTATTTCATCAAGACTCAGGATTTTAATCCCTTAAGTCTTTCTTCTTTTATAAAAGAAAGACTGACAAACTTACTTTGGGGTAGAAAAATGGCCTCAACACCAAACTATCACTTTAGAATTATGCTGCTGCTTCTGGTCTAATTGAAAGTAACAGGACAGGACACTTTGGGAAATTCATCTACCAGCCTAGTCTACTGCACTTAACAAGAAATCCCTTTATCATTTGGGAAGCAAAGGCAGTTCCCCTCTGTTTATCAATTTCTTAGATTTTGCAGGAAATCTCTAAATTTCTGAATTATTCAGAAAAACTCATTGAGGCCAATAAATTTCATTGTTTAAGAAGAAGAGCTTCTGATAGTGGCAAAAGAGGATGGGCAGGGGTTAATGTGCAAATAGTCATGAAATGAAGCTCAGTTTCAATTTGTACATTTTTTAATCTGAAACACATTTCTACCATTTCTAATTTAATTTTCAGGGCTTTCCAGAGAAACAAAACCAATATAATGGATGGATGGATAGACAGATAGATTGATAGATAGACAGACAAGAAGGGATTTATTAAAAGAATTGGCTCATACCATTATGTAGACCAAGTCCCGTGATAAGCCATCTGAAAGTTGGGGAACCAGGAAGCAGGAAGTCTGGCTCAGTTCAAGTCCAAAGACCTCAGAATCAGGAAAGGTGATGAGGTAACTTTCAGTCTAAGGCCCAAGACCTGTGAAACTGATGGGCCACTAGTACAAGTCCTGGAGTCCAAAGTCTATAAAACCTGGAGTTCTAATGTCCAAGTGTAGGAGAAAAAGGGTATTCTAGCTCCAGAAGAGAATTTTCCTGTCCTCTGCCTTTTTCTTTTATCCAGGCCCTACACAATTGAATGGTTCCCACCCACATTAGGTGAGAGAGGATCTTCCTTGTCCAGCCCATTAAATTAAAATGTCAATCTCTTTTGGAAACACTATTACAGACATACCCAGCAATAATGCTTTACCAGCTATCTGAGTATTTCTTAATTCAGTCAAGTTGATACCTAAAATTAACCAGCACACTAAGTGACTATTGCTAAGGGACAAAATGTTTTAGTCTTCAAAAGTACAGTTGATTAAAAAAAATGGTAACCTACCTTCTGTGTGGCAAATTACTTTTCTAGTATGAGGAAGGAGTTCTCTTTACTACAAGCACATTCTTGGGTCCAGGAGTTAGTATATAATTTTATTAAGTACCTACTATTTGTTAAGTATTATTAGGTACTCTGTAAGCAGAGGGAAAAATGGGTGAAAAAACAATGACCTAGACTTAGGTCCTAGATTCAAATATCTTACAATTTAATGGGTGAAATAGTTGCATCTATGTTAAAAATTTTTGTTCTTGTGGAACTTCACTTAGTTTGAAGCTAATTGTTATGTTTCAAATGGTTAGACAGTACTTTAGTGTTTTTAGATATTCAACAGTTCTTGAGCATCACAAGGATTCTAAATATTGCATGGGGCAACATAGTTGAGACAGAAAAGATCTTTGCTTCAGCTGGGTGCCAGTGGCTCACACCTGTAATCTTAGCTACTCAGGAGGCAGAGATCAGGAGAATTGTGGTTCAAAGCCAGCCCAGGCAAATAGTTCATGAGACCCTATCTGGAAATAAAAACATAACAAAAAAGGGCTGATGGAGTGGCTCAAGGTGTAGGCCCTGAGTTCAAATCCCAGTACCACAAAAAAAATCTTTTCTTCAAGCTGGTAGTATATGGATGTCTTTAAAAGTACTGACTTTGGTTGGGCACAGTGGTGCATAACTGTAACCCCAACACTAGGTAGGCTGAGACAGGAGGATCAAGAGTTCAAACCAGCCTGTGCTACATAGGGAGAATCTGTCTCAAAAACCAAAAACAACCCCTAACAAAAAAGTACTGGCTTTGCAGTCAAGTAGATCAGTGGATTTGAATCCTAGATCTGCAACTTAGCAATTAATTTGACCTTGGATTAATGATTTAACTTCTCTATATACTGTTTTTCTCATTTACAAAAATAAAGAAAAAAAATAGGATAACAGTAAATCTCATTTAGCTGATAAGTGAATTAAATATATAAATATATGCAAAAGCATTAACTTATTGCTTGGTGCATGGTAGGTAATCAATAAAGTTAAGTTATTGCTATTATTTTGTTTCATACCCCCCACCCTGGGGTTACAGAACCCATGGAGAAAGGAATTGAAAACAGTGACAATAACATATAAATAATAAAGTACCTGTGAGTATCATAGGAAGAGCTGTATGTTTTAGAACAATAAATAACCTCTAAGCAAACCCAAAACATGCGTTAATTACTTTCAAACCTTATTGCATAGTTTTAGGTGGGTGTCCAAATTATTCCAAGCTGTGAGTCTAGACCTAATGAATTTCTTGGCATTCTGCATTTGAGATCCAAAGGTAAACAATGGAGTCGGCAAGGTTCTAGACAGAAAAGGCAGTTTTGGTGGTGGGGGCCTGGTTTACACTTAAAGTGATTTCACTTGACAGCTTTTAGGGGGAGTGGTTCTCTTGCAGAATTCCAAAGGAAATGTTCTCTTGATAGTCTTACTTGCTTTTGGAGTAGGCCACCAAGTAAAAATTTTAATTTTAGGTTTTTCCCCAAGTTTTATTTTTCCCAGGTTTCTGACGTCTAAAACCTTACCAGGTTTTCAAACTTTAGCTTAGTAATCTTTTTTTTCTTTCTCAGGTGAAGGGCAAATAAAAACAATCCTGGTGTTGGCTAGGGTCCAACAGCATGCTGCCAAACCCCTACTCTCTTCTCTGTGTAGTGTGGCTACTACCTGCTTAACTCAGTCCTTAAATCGAGACTGTTTTGCTTGGGTCCCTGTGGCTGTTTCTAGTTTTCAGTCTTGTTAGTAAATTCCTCCAATGCAGGAATTATGTCAAAAGCCTTTGTAGAATATTGATTCACCTTGACTCTTTCTATGCTCTACTTTAAACATATCCGGGACAATGCAATACCAAAAGGAGTGAATAGTAAATAGTAAATTATTGTTGATTGTTATGACCTTCCCATAATCCTTGACTGTAATGTGTATTCTAAGAACTCTAAGTTCTTTCAGGACTATTGTGGAGCAGACTATGATTGTGGCAGACATTCCAGTCCTTCTGGAAAAAGTAACCAATTGCAAAAGACAATGTAAGACTATAAATTAACAAGAAAAAAAAGCCTAACAATCTCAGAAACTGATCCATAGTAGCCAGTGACTTAGGATACAAACAATTAGATTCACCAAGCTTAAAAGAAGTTCTATTTTTCTTCCTATCACAAAAATTATCCAGTAAAACATACACTCACTTGGGGATGGATCAGTAGCAAGGTCCACTTATGGGTCATTTCAATACCTTGCTAGACTGTGTACTCAGTATCTCTGAGTACTGGAAATGAGTCATTATCAGTGGAAAAGCTGCTCTCTAGAATCCTATAAAACAAATCTTTTGACTGCTTAATTCGAATCCAGACTAACAACAGCCTCATTTCCCCAATTTTACAATTTAATTTCTTTGGCTGTTTCTGAGTTTAGTATGCCTGATAAAAACCACGATATTAAAAAGAAGTCGTTTTTCATTCCTACTGGGAATTGAGTTTAAGATGTAAACAGAGTAACAGAAAGAAGCTTTTAAATTAGATATGTGAAAAAAAAGTGGAGGCTTCAGAAGATGAAAGTGGAGAAAAGATATTTAGATCTGCTAGAATTAAAAGGTAGAAGCTACTTCTGTGTTTTGAGCAAGGGAAATGGCAACGCAGGATATAAAGCTAGCATACCAGGTTACCAGGACTTCAATCACAGCACTTTCCAAGAATTTGAAAATGAAATGGTACAGGGTTTTCCATTCTTGCCCAAGGAAAGCTAAACTGGGACCTGCATTTGCCTCAAGTAAAATAGACTGAGCATTTAACCCTAATGAGCCTGGTATCTTAGCAGATAAATGATTAGACAAAGGGAAAAATAAAGACGTAAAGCGGTTTGCATAAGTTTACAAAGAAGTTCCAAATCTGTGTACTTGTCAGTGTACCACCAACCTGCCTGAGAGACCAAAAATAGCGATGACTCCATGGCTAAAGCCTTCCATTAAGGTAGAGCTCACGACAGGCCGAGCGAGGGCTAAAGAGGAAGCAAGATTTTCACAAGAATGGAGCAAAAAACCGTATTTCAGGGCTTAGAAAATAATGAAATACGCTAAGAACAAGCCTGTGGGAAGTTAATTAACGACGCTTTAAATAGCCAAAAAGCTTAACTGTTTTTCATTGCAAATGAACAATGCAAAGGACCATCCTTAAGTGAACTTAAAAAATGATAGATGAAAGCATAAAGCAAGTAAGAAGAGAAAGAAAGACACGGAAGCAGGCCAGCATTCACACCTCCGACCCCACTTGCACCGGGATCCCGGGTTCACCTCAGCGCTCTCACAGGAGCGTAGCTTTGGCCCCACCTCCGTCCAGTTTGGACCCGTCCCTGTTTAACTGGCCCCGCCCCTCCCCGTCCTGTACAAGTAACGCCGCGCGTAGGTGGCGGGTGTGTTCCTACTTTCGTCACGGAGAAGCGAGGCGGGACTTCCGGTGTTTGAAAAACTTCCGGCGGGAACCGGAAGATGCTGTAATACAGAGCCCGGGTCTCCTGACACGCCAGGCGGGAAGGTGAGCAGTGCGTCTGCCCTGGCTGCTGTCCTGCAGGCTCGCACGAGCCTGTGTCCGGGCTCCGGTATTTTTGGGGCCATTTAAAAAGTTCAGAGCGCTCATTTGGGAAATCACAGTTTTTAAAAGTGACAAGTTTTATTACAGCTTACTGTCAGCGCTCTGTATATCCCACCATCTGCACCCGGAAAATCCCTCCTAGCTGCCGCGTGTCACCTGGCATGTCTTCTGTGTAGTTGCAGCAGCTCTTAGGGCATAGGGACAGACACAGGATGCCCAGGCGAACCTCTATTGTTTTTATACACCAAGGATCAGAGAGGAGGGATTAAGCACCCTTGTCACTATCACATCGTGGCCCTGTCTGAACTGGCAGCATCTTAAGTCGTGGCTGGGCGATTCAGGAGGCTCTTGAGTAACTTGTGGAAAGGAATTAATGGGAACTCTAGGCAACTTTCCTCGTCTTCTATATGACATCATGTCACTAATATACTGTATGTAGAGTGGGTAACAAGGCTGCTCTTGGTTTTGGGGGCTGTGACTTCTGGGTCCTTTGCCATATACTTTTGCCGTTTGAGTAAACTGTTTTACCTCGAGGCTCAGTCTTCTCTTTGTTAGAAGAATATAGCAGGGCTCCCCGTTCGTTCTGAAAGGCTCTTTCCAACTCTTCCATTTTGTTGTTGTGGCCTGGGGATCTGTGCTAACACTCGATGCACTTCTGTTGGTTTCCTCAGGAAAACTTAATTTAGATTATCCCTGAAGAAGTCGTTCCTCTCTGCTCTTCTTGAATTTTTAGTGTTTTTCCATTTTAATGTTTTCGTTTGTGTAGATCCTTCTGTCTCTCCCTATTTTCACTTGTCCCAGTTTATAGTGTCCCCCTCAGCATCGCAGCCACCCCTAAATTACTAACCAAATATGCTCATGTGCTCACAGAGATAAGAGCTTGAAAGAGGGAAAATCCCATATCACTAAAGAATAAGAATGTTCTTATATGCCACCACCTTTTCAAGAAATAAGTGAGTGCTACATATATAATTGCCTAATAGTAATGAAAAACAAATTTACATTCCTTTATAGAAACCATATTTGTTTCTATCATGCTTATTTAATAGACAGGAGCCATTAAGTGCTTTGCTCTGTGGGATACTGAAGTAAGGGGAATGTGTTTCATTTCTTCATAGCGTTTACTGCATTGAGCACGATTCTGACAATAGAAAAAACCCAAAGGTATAACTTAAAATCATGTTATACTGCTGTGTAAAGGAAAAAAGAGTAGGGCTCTTCTTAAATATAGAAACACATTTTAGACCTAAAATGCTGAGATCTAAGAGATGAGAAGTAGCCAGACATCTGATGACCAGAAGGAAGAGTGCTCCAGGTAGAGCATATCTGAGGTGGGAAAGAATCATGCTTGTTACTGGACTGAAAGAATGTGACAAGAGCTGAGGACTTAGAGCAAGGAGTAAATGTGATTTGAAAGGGAAGTAGAAGTCACTCCTGCAGGGCCTCTGAGTCAAAGATAAGGTGGGAAGTCACTGAATGCTTTTTAAGCATTTTCTAAATGATCTCAAGTTGATACGTGGAAGATGGGTTGTAGAGGTAAGAGTGGAAACAGGGAGTGCAGATGAGAGGCTATTGCAGTACTCAGGTGAGAGATGGGGACTGTTGTGGTTTGAATATGTCCTCCAAAGTTTATGTGTTGGAAACACAAATTCATATACTGATTGTAGGTAGGCCTTAGGTAGGTTAAGTAGGGTTAGATGAGGTCATGAGGTGGTGCCCCCATGATGGGATTAGTGGCTTTATAAGAAGAGAAACCTTTCTTTAGCCATTTGATGCCTTCTGCCATGGGATCACTCAAGAAGGTACACTTTCCAGCCTCCAGAATTGTGAGAAAAAATTCTTCATAAATTACCCTGTCTTTGGTATTATGTTACAGCAACAGAAAACAGACCCAGACAATGCCTAAAGACTCACTTGAGATCATAATGATTAAGGATATATTTTGGAGGAAGAATTTATGTGGCTTACTAATAGACTGGATATGGCAGAGGAAAGAAAAAGATTTGCAATGTTTTGGCTTAGCAAATGGATCTTTGGTTATGTTCATCATCTTGATTGTTGTGATGTATATGCATTTGTAAAAACTTACAAATTTGAACACCTTAAACATGTATGATAAATTGCATGTCAGTTACAGCCCAATTAAGCTGTAAAATTTTTTCTCAGGCTCTAGTTTAGCAAATAGATAGAATGTGGTACCATTTACTGAGATGAGAAAGTCTGGTAGTAGAGACGGGTTTTAGGACAAGGAATAGTTATTCAAAGAGTTCCATTGTGGATAGTAGAATTTAAGATAAATATGAGAGATCTAAATAGTTTCAGAAGAAGCAGTTTATTATGTAAATCTGAGTCTTATAGGCAAGGTTTGGGATGGAGGGATTAGGATTATTAGTAGGTATGTATAATCATGTGCCAATTAACAATGACATTGGTGATGGATGCCAAGGAGCATCCATCCATTATGGGACATAGGAAACTGGTCCCATAAAATTATATCACCTATGATGTAGCTGTCTTAGTTTGTGAAAGTACACTTTGGTGTTGACACAATGATAATCTCCTAATGTTGCATTTCTCAGAGTGTACCTGTTATTAAGTGACACATGACTATATTTAAAACATAGAAATGGATGAGATTTTGATTAATCTGACAAGTTGTGTGATATGAAGCAAGGGGACTTGGGAGGAGTGGAGATACAGGAACAGAACCTAAGAACCTTGGTATTTAAATTGGAGTCTACATACCCCTGGGATTATACCTGGCATGGATAGTTTTTTTATAAATAATCTCTAGCTTCTTATATATATTCTTTCTTCTTACATGTACTCTTTTATCTGTTTCTTATGTGTACTCTTTCTTTAGGTCTGCCTGAAATTGTCCTATGTGTTCACGCAGAGTCTTCTTTCTTAGCTTCGTTTTTACACTCATATTTTTTCGCACTTGTGGAAAGAAATGCTTATGTCTTACTCACCTTTCCATGATACATTGCCTCCAGGATGCTTAATAAAGGGGCAGTTGGAAGTATTTGTTTCAGGGAAACCTTTTTTGAAGCTAATGGTTAATCAAAACATAATCCTGACATAATCTTTGCCTGTTTTAAACACATTTCTGGTAAGGCTGAAATGTGGAGGTGGATTTGGTATATGTTGGTCTGTGTGGGAATGTTTTGAAGTTAGGTGTAGTAGTTCCCCCTTGTCCTCACGGAATACATTTCAAGGCCCCTCAGTGGATACCTGAAACCTGAGATAGTACTGAACCCTACAAATACCATACTTTTTTGACATACATACATACCTGGGATAAAGTTTAATTTATAAATTAGGGTTAGACATTAACACCAATGACTAATAATGAAGTGGAGCAATTATAACGTTATATGGTAATTGTTAGCATTTCTACTCTTGTGCTTTGGGGACATTATTCAGTAAAATAAGGGTTACTTGAACTCAAGCAATGCAATATGGTGACAGTTGATCTAATAACTTAGATGACAGCTTAGTGACTAGTAGGGGTAGTGAATACAGCATGGATACACTGGACAAAGGATGGGTCATGTCCTTTACTGGATAGAAAAAGATGGGAGAGTTCATCACCCTATGTACAAAAACATACAATTCAAGGCCTATGGATGGTTTATTTCTAGAAGTTTTTGTCTAATATTGGTGTACCATGGTTGGCTAAGGGTAACCAAACTTGGATAAGGGGGAGTATTGTACATTGTAGATTGGGGTGGTAGAACTAGCTGTAAGGTCATCTGGGTAAGTTGTTTGATGGGGAGCTTAGCACCTTTAGATTTTTACTCTTTGGGTGGTCAGAGAAAAGTCAGCCCTTTGTCCTCCATAGAGGGTAAGGATCTGACTGGTGACACTGAGATCTTCGTGAAGTAGAGTACTAGGGGACTTTGGATTTGACATTCAGTTTTTGTGGTGTCCAGGAACACAATTGCACTTGATTCTATTTTACCTTCTTTGGAGAATAAACCTCTAGACCTTTTCTAGAGCAGTTGCCTAATAGCATTATATGTGGTTGGACACCTAAGAGATATTCCTTTATGTCAGACAGTTTATAATCAGCCCTAACCCCTTCCCTCTTGATCTCAAAGTTATCAGTGACTGCTTCTGTGATTTTTTAGAAGAATGGAAGGGTAAATTGGTTTTGTTCTCAGATGCTCCCACTGCTGGCTTGGGATTTTAATTTTTATGTAGTAAAATCTGTTAATCTTTTTGGCTTTGAAATTTTGAGTCATGTGTAGGAAAACCTGCATTCCCTTACCCTATTCAAGATTATGAAAAGTCATTTTTGCTTTTTTTCTAGCACTTTAGTAGTTTTATTTTGTGTGTTTTAAATGATTAGGTGTTGTAGAATATGTTTTTTTGTTCATGATGTGGAGGTAGGAATTGAACATTTGCTTTGTTCAGAGGAATAGCTGGTTGTCTCAATACCATTTACTGAATAATCCCTTTCGCCCTGACTTGGTTTGAATTATCATCTCTGTTAAACACTAACACCCTCTGTTTTATTATATATTTTTTATAGTGGCAAAATACACATAGCACAGAAATCATAATTACCCATTCCCTTATGATCAATAACTTGAGCTGCTTATTGAGGAAGCATTACCTACAGAATTTAAAACTCCATAAAAGAAAGTGAAGGAGAAGATGGAAATTATCCTGTATCCTTCCTAGAGACTGTTCTCCTTCTGCTTTTCTGTTCTGTCCCAGAGTTCTGTGCTTAATAGAGTGAGTTGATCTATAGTTGCTGGGAGAAAATGTTCCCTTTTGTGACAACCCCTTGAGTATTTCTGTGAGGTATTACTTCCTCTCCTAAGTGGATGTTGGAACCAGAGGCATTAAAATTAATATGTGACTGGTTTAGGAACTTGTTTAAAGAGTTCCAAATATGTCAAAATTTAATGTAGTTTTTACAGGATGACACACATTCGTTAGGTAATAAATCTTATCAGCTTAAGTTTCTTTACTTCTTTTATTATGTAATACCTCTTGATATTTGTCTTAATATTTTAAAGAGCCTTTGAATCTAGTAAATATTTTAAGTGGCATAGTGATTACTCACTTTATTTAAGGATTAAGAACTTTTATTATAATGTGGTGGCTGCTTTATGTGATACTTAACCTTATAGACATGCCTCTACTTTGTACTGTAAGAAAATATAGAGGAAAGTTTCTTGTCTTTTGATATATAGTTTAGTAAAAGGGCTTTATAATTTGCTTACTTGATAGTATTACCATCAAATAATACTTGCAGAATACCTAAGTATGTAATTCTAAAAAACTAACAATTGTCACTATATTGGATCCTACATTTTTCAAAAGATAGTCCCCATTCATAAGGCATTCGAAACCTCTGGGAGGCTGTTATATGCATTTGTTTGTTTGTTTTTGAGCATAGGCTGGACTGGAATTTGCTCTGTAGTTCAGGCTGATCTTGAACTCATGATCCTTCTGCCTTAATTAGAGGCATGCACATCATGCCTGGCAGAGCTGCTCTATCAATCAGCAGCTATATAGCAAGGGAAAGCAGTGTTTGGAATTGTGAATAAGACTTTTTTTTTTTTCCTCCCCTATCACAGGTTTTCACAGCAGAGCTATTGGAGTGTTTGCTTTGAATGGTGCTTCATTTTGTAACCAAATGAAGTGATTAGGCTATTCAAGTCATACTGACTCCATGTTCCATTTCTTCCAGATGTCATCATTGCTAAGAAGAGCAAAAACACAGGTCCAGACTACAATATCCAAAGATGAATTTTCATACTTCTCTGAGTTGTAAGTGTATTGGTTTAATATGATGGTGGGGGAATGATGAATATTTTAAGGTATAACGCTTTCTGTCATTTACATATTTGTTGAGTCATTTAGGTGGAAGAAATCTGTGTTTTTTTCATTCATTCATGCAACAAATGTTTGTTGAACTCATTCTGTGTTCCAGACTGCATCTAATGTTCGTGATAAAGTGTTAAATAAAGAGAAAATAACCAACTAAATATATAACATATTTATAGTAGAACATAAGCTCCACAAGGGCAGGGAGTTTTTTTATATTGCTTTAGAGCAGAGTTTCTCAACCTCTGTACTGTTGACATGTGCAGGATAATTTTTGGTTGTAGAGGCTGTCTTTTGCTCTGTACGATGTTAGCAGCATCTGTGACCTCTACCCAGTAGATGCCAATAGCATCCCTTCCCTGTTATGAAAGTCAAAAATGCCTTAAGATAGTGTCAGATGTCTCAGGGGGTCAAAATTATCCCTAGTTGAGATTTTTTGCTGTAGCACACCATATTAGGTACTCTTAAGATATCAAGGAATGAGTGCTTAATGTTAGGTTATAATAAGTGCTGTAAAGAAAAATAAAGCTGGCAAGTGGCAGAGCATGGTGAGTAGGTTTGATGGAGGGGCATTTTGGATAGAATAGTGAGGATATTCTTTAAGAGATCTAAATCTAAATGACATTTGTGAATTCTGTGATTTGGAGAATGACCCCCAAAGGTTCATGTAAAAGCTTGGTGTCCAAGGTAGAGGTATTGGGAGCTGATGGGACCTTTAAGAGGTGAGGCCTAGAGGGAAGTGGTTAGGTCATTTGGGGCATACCCTCTTAGGGGACTGTGGGACTCTGACCTGTCTTCTTTTTCTTTATTCTTACCTCAAGATTGTGTACTTGTTCCAACATGTGTTTCTGCCTTTGCCACCTGCTGTCCTCCTTAGGTCCAAACCAAAGGGGCTGTCTGATCTTGTTCCTGAACCTCCAAGACTGAGCTAAACCATTTATCTTTATTAAGTTAGTTGCCTCAGATATTTGGGTGTAGTGATGCAAAACTGACTAACTCAGGAGTGCACCTCTCTCTGCAAAGGCCTTGAGGATTGTGTTCCACTGAGAGAGAGCAGCTAATACAAAGACCCTGAAGCAGGAATGAGTTGGGTGTGTTCAGAAAACAGCAAGGAGCCCAGTGTGGCCAGTTCAGAGTCATTGAGGCAGAGAGTGATAGGAAATGAGATTGGACTGGTAGGATCTGGGAGTCTATGACAAGGGCTAGGATTTTATTTGGAGTGGGTTCTGCCAAGGGCTCACATGTGATGGAGAATGATAGTTGACTAGCTGCCTCAGAACTGCTTCTGTGTAACAAAATGATACCAATGCTTGTGTTTTATTCATAATAAGGAAAAGTCCTTTACTTTTGGCAATCTGCCCATGTGAAATAGGTTTAGTCAGTAGTTCTGCTTGTATGTTATGAGACACTGAGGTGGAATGATGATATCCTGCTTGATTTGTTAATAGAAGGGAACCTTAGTTTTCTAATTCCTTGGTTTTCACATTCTAGTTCCTTTGGAATCCATAGCTATTATGTTCTGATGGTTTTGTTTTTTGCTTAGTATCCGCCTGTGAAAAAAACTTGCCTTGAGGGTATTGGTGGTTTGACCTATCACAATTATGCTTTTCTGGAGCATAATTTTGCTAAGAAGCCATCCAATAAGGTTTTTGCCTCCAGACCTTTCAGAAACCAGACATCCCTATACACTAGTCTCAGTGAGGGAATTCATCATTTTTCCCACTAGTGCTGACCTTTTATATTAGGGTAAAAAATAGAATAAACCATGTTAGTGGGAGGGCTGTGTTCCTTCAACAGTGTTCACATGGCTGTTTTTTCTCCACTCTTGCTGTGAATTTGATTCTTGATTGTTAGAAAAATACGGTGACTGTACCTGGTCCAATCTAATCAGGATACACATCTATTCTGTGAAAGAGTAAAAATGGTTAGTAAAAATAGTTGGAAGGGTCTTGGTGCTGACCTCCTGTGTAATTTAGAGTGTTTATAGGGTCATTTCCCACTCCTTTCATTGAATCTAATAACTTAATACAATTTGAATGAATCTGATTAACACTTGGGAACTTACTTAAGTGCTTGTCAGTGTTAAAATTGAAAAGGTCATATTGTGCATGGTGGGACATAACCTAGGTAATAAGTGATTATTTCCTATATCATGAAGATATATGTGTGCATGTTTGTCAGGTAGGTGAGAAGAGAGTGGCGACACCTGTGATTTATAGTGTATGGTAGGGGAGGGTAGTTTTACATTGCCTCTGATCAGTTTCAGTTTTTAGTAATAACTTTTCATAGCCTGTGCTCATATCACTCACTCCATTTTATATTAAACACCTCCAACTTTATCACTTTTTTTTTTCTTTGCTCGTGCTAAAGTTTGAACTTAGGGCCTTATACTTGCTAGGTGGGTACTCATATCACTTGAGCCATGTGCCTCACCCTCTATCTTTTTTTTTTAAAGAAGCATTTGTTTGTCTTTTTCTTTTGACATTTGGTTTCATTTTTCCTGGACATTCTGTCAAATTACTCCTAGATCATCTGCCTCTGAAGAAGATGACAAGGAAGATAGCATCTGGGAGCCCCAAAAGAAAGTCCCAAGAAATCGTAAGCAGCTTGCTCCCAAGGAATCCAAACCAAAGAGGGCAGCACGGGCAAAGAAGAACACACCACAGTTGAGTGAGGGCTCAGAAGGTGTGGCTGTTAAGGAGGAGCAGGTAGGTGCTATAGCTAGATTGGGGCGGGATTTGAGGGAAGGCAGAAATGTTTTCCTTTTTCATTACACAGAGTAGGTCAAATCATGGAAATGACAAAAACTGTGGGGCAGTGGTATCACCTGTCACAGGTCTTAATAATAGCTACCATTAAATCCATGGTGTTTTTTCACCTACTTTCTTTTTCCTCTCCTAGGAGGTGAGTTAGTTGTGCTAGTGGTGGTTGTGATGGTGATATAAACAAATACTTAAGTGCTTACTGTTAGCCAGGCAACATGCTCCACATTTCACTCTTATGATCTTGCTTAATCTTTGCAACAATCATTGAGGCAGGTGCTGTTATTATCCTAATTTTATAGATTAGAGAGCAGAGACAAGAAATGTTAAGTGATTTGCTCACACAGATTGTAAGTGGTGCAACTGTGTTTCTAAGTCAGCATTTCAGGAACCAATATACCTCGCAAGGGTGTTTTTACATTAGCTCACAAGAGTGATGTATACAACCAGAGTGCTGGTTTAATAATTAATACTTTGAAGTAATCATCACAAGAACTGGAAATTCTTATGGCCAGTACTTTTTCTCCTTGGAGGCTGAAATAAGTAGGGAATTAAATAATCAGAAATTACTTGATGAGCACAGACTGAGAGAATAGGAGAATTAGATGATAAGTTCATTTGGTTTTATTGAATGACTGCTGTGGTCTTGGCACTGTGGTTGTCATGGTGACAGTCGAAGGGTTTAATTGCATGGAGCTAAAGTAGTCTGAAGTGTCCATTTCACAGCAGGCTCTCTTTCCATTGGAACCAAAGTACACAGAATTTATTGAGCTTTCTTCTCTTTTGTACATTTCTGGGGAAAATGCTGATCATATTTACTATTTTATAGTTCTCTTTTTTTCTGCTCCTTTGTGATTGACAACTCCCTTTATGATTGACACATTCTTTAGTTATCCCAATTCATTTGGTTAGATTATCAACTATTATAGGCTCAGAATCATTTTATCTTCATATCTCTACTCTGATCCATTATATTTCGAGTGTAAAATTTGATACTCCAGAGCTATCTAATATACATCATTTTCAAGTTTACATGGTGGTGGTGGGTAGGCATTGGATAGGAGTACTCTTATTGTAGGTTTTAATATTCATATATATAATTGATACAATATTCAATATATATTATTGATACAATATTATATATATAATATATATATATATATTGGTGGGACTAGGGTTTGAACTCAGGGCTTTGCACTTGCAAAGCATAAACTCTACCACTTGAGTCATACCTCTAGTCCATTTTTCTCTGGTTATTTGGGAGATGGGATTTCTTGAACTATTTGCCAGGGCTGCCCTTGAACTGAGTTTCAATTTTCCTGATTTCAGCCTCTGAAAGTAGCTAGGATTACAGGCTTGAGCCACCAGCTTCAATACTATAAATAGTAATTCTGGAAAAAATTTGAGAGAAGATTGAATTTTGACTGAAATTTTGTTTGGGAGTTGTTCGTGTTTGTTTGACTTAAGCGTCATCTGTGACACTCAAGTTTATTAGGAATAAGCTAGCATGTGAAACTGTAAGCTCCTTAAGGGCAGGCTCTTAATCTTATTTACCACTCTTTCCAGTGCTAAGATGAGTGCCATGTCTCTTTCCTTCACAGCTAAGCTGGCACATGGGTTGAAAGGGTGAGCAGTGGTGGTACAGAGTGGTCCTTGGATACCTGTGGAGACAACTGGGTAGACTCTTGTTAAAGAAAAATGTCTGCCATTAGCCTGCTGTCATTTTATTGCTTTTTTTTTTTTTTTTCTTTTTCATGGGATTGAGGTTTGAACCCAGGGCTTCATGTTTGCAAAACAGCCACTCTACCACTTGAGCCACACCTCCAGTCCAGCCTGCTATCATTTTGTGTTGTCCATCTTCTCAATGTCTGTATAAATAGGTGACAGGTGTAGCCTCTTGAATTTTGTGTGTGATTATTGCCCTTCTCTCTCTAAAAGGTTGACATTGATTATAACTTTTAATCTTGGTTTTCCTGGCAGTTGTAGACCTGTCCTTTGCTCATTTTTCAAAATCAAACCTTATTTCTAAATAATTCACATATATGTGTAACAAATAATAGAGATTCCATGTATTCTTTATCTGATTTGCCCAATGGTAAAAGTTTAGTTATTTCACATAGGTGGAGTAAAATATCATAATCAAGGTATTAAAATTAATAAAATCCACTGATCTTATTTTAATTTCTCCAGTTTTACTTGTATCCATTTATGTGTATGTTTGTGTGTATGTGTTTAGTTCTCTGGAATTTTATCACTTGGATAGGTTTGTGTATCCAGCACCATAATCCTTAGTGTTACCCTTTCATAGGCACACCCACCTCCTGCCTGCCTCCCCTTCACTCATGTCTTACTCCTAGCAACTACTAATCTGTTCAGGAATGTCCTATAAATATAATCGTATAGTATGTAACTTTGAGATGGGCTTTTCCCCCCCACTCAACATAGTTCCAAGTTTTTGTATGTGTCAGTACTTTGCTCTTTTTCATTTCTATAATAGTATTTCAGATATTTGAGAAGCGTTCCAGGGCAATTAGTTTTTAATCTAATTCTCATGTCTTCTCTTTGTGGTTTGATAGAATTGTCCTGTGGCTGTTGCTGATGTTGATTTGGAAGAGAGAAAAAGTAAGAGTAAATTGGATGCTGCACAGACTCTGAAAACAGCAAAGACAAAGCAGAAAACTTCAGCTCAGAGGACCAAAAAGGTGAAAGCTGATGAAGAAACCAGCAAAGCTGGCACGTTAGAGAGTGGAAGTAGTAATACGGAGACACCGTCAACAAGTACCATGTGGGAAGGTGTGTGCAAGAAAGAGGAGAATGATGATTTCACATTTGGTCAGTCCCCATTAAAGAGAATGAAGACTGAAACATGTCCTCAGGGGCAGCCTGTCAAGTTTCCAGCGAGTGCCAACAATATTAAAGAGGAGGTGGAAATGAATTGGGACATAGTACAGGTATGTGCAGCCATTTCCTGTCACTTACTTGCTTTTTTTCCTTCCTTCCTTCCCTCCTTTCTTTTTCTTCCTTCCTTCCTTTCTTTCTTTTTGATGAGACTGGGATTCAAACTCAGGGCTTCTTGCTCACGAGCTCTACCACTTGAGCCATACCTCCAGTCCATTTTGCTCTAGTTATTTTGGAGATGGGATCTTGCAAACTATTTGCCTAGGCTGGCCTCAAACCTTGATTCTCTGGATCTTAGCCTACCAAATACCTAGGATTATAGGCATGAGCCACTGTTGCCTGACTTACTTAGTTGCTTTGATTCTTTTCTTTTTGATTAGCATAGGGGTGGTGCTGTCTAAGAGAAGGGTTGGGAATTTTGGATTCTTCTTTTAGTTTTGTTGGTGATTTCCAGAATCAAGCTTTGGCCACTGGTTCTTTTCTTGTGTCCACTATTTTGTATTATGGCTTATCATCATTGTTCTCTGGTTAAGAGCTGTGACTTCAGTCAGGAAGGGTCTTTGCCATGGTGCCTCAGTACACATAAGCTATGCCCCAGCAGCTTGGGTCCTTAAAGGTTGATTGTTAAACTTGCTTTGTGCTTGGACCGTATTTCCCAATAACATCAGTGCAGGTGATTAGGTCATTGGCTGTTTATATGTTTATTTAACCCTTGGTGTACTGTAACATGCTATGAGCAAGAACTAGCAATTTCTTTGAAAGAGAATTCTATAAGAATTCCAACTTGAGGTACCAGAATTATATCTCTATAGGGGAAATTAAATTTCCCATAGGTTGTTTTTTTTTACTTTTTGTTTTTTTTTCCCAGCTGGTTTTGGAAATGGTAGAAAAGACCAGAAGAGAATGGTTCTTAACCTTTTGTCTCTTCCTACACATTCTGGGACCATTTCAGGGTAGATGGCAATGGCTTTTCTTGCTATTGTCTGTCTTTGGGGAACTTGGTATGTATATATCCTTCTTTTTCCATGAAATGCTGTTGTACAGCCCAGCGCATCTGCTGGATCCTGATACTTCTTCTCATCTGGGACTGTTTGTGTGTCACTTTTTGTGTTGAGTAGAATGTTTTTTTATCCATGATACCTTTTCTGTTACTACTAGTCTCATGTCACCAGTAATTTTTAATTATGATTGTTTTTCTCTCTGGCCTACGAAGGGATAGAATGTTGCCTCACAGCTTTTTTCTCACTCTTGTTCCTGAACTAAATAGTGCAAAGTACCATGGAGAAACAGTATACCTAAGCTCCTTCTTACACTTTCATTTTCTTTATTTATTTAGACCCACAGGCAATGTTTGCAAAGTATGGGTCATGGACCACCTGCACCCAGAAAGCTTTCCTCTTTTTCTTTTTTGGTGGCACTGAGGTTTGAACTCAGGGACTCATACTTGCTAGGCAAGTGCTCTACCATTTGAACCATGCCTCCAAATCCTGAAGGCTTTCTTGAAATGCAGAGTCTTTGGTCCCAAATGAGACTTAAAAGGGCAGGTGGACATATCCTACTTCCTTTGCCTTGCTGTTCACTAACACTGTTAAACTTACTTCTTTTATTGACATAGACCCACCTCTAGCAGTAGATAATGTGTAGGAAGGAAAGAAGGAGGCTTCAAAGACCAAAATGATTTTTTATTTTTTTGAGGGGCAATACTGGGGTTTGAACTTAGGGTCTTGTACTTGCTAGGTAGGTGCTCTACCTATTGAGCTACTCCGCCAGTCCCCCAAGTCTCTCATCTTTGAGACTTGGTAATAAGTTACTTATAATGAAGAGCTACTCACTCCTAGGACACTTTGCTTCCTACCCTATTCTCTAATCTTTGTTACAGAGGAAGAGATGAAAATGGCCTTTCCTTAGCCATTTGTTCCTAGAGTAGAAGTAATAGAAACTTGTTTGTAATGAGCAGAAAAGAGTTTAATACCAAAGCAACAGGGGCCTCTCAAAAAACAAAAGGGACGGATTGTGATCAAGTGTCCCAAAGAACTCTAACTGAAAATTGTGGGAACTTGGAGAAGATAACCTCACCTACTTCTGCTGCTTTTCCTTTGAGTTACTTTTTTCTCTCAGCAGATCTAATTTCTTTGTTTCTTTAAGGAGGATGAGTGATGACAACTCCCCAGTTCATTTACCATTAGTTTTATTAGTTAGGTAGATTTACTAATTAATCCTGTTTTCTAATTCCAGATTTCAGGAAGAGAATCTGATTGATTGAACTTGGGCCAGGTATCCATCTTTGGTCCAGTGCCCTAGGTGCACAGTCTTATCATATTGTGGAAATAAACACCTGTGTGTCTGGGGTGGTGGTGGGTGAGGAAGGCTGGGGAAAGGAGGATATTTGTGGGCCACCTGAAAGTATCTATTTCAGGATCAACCTTTAAAATGTAAATTTATAAATCTAGGTGATGATCAAGTTCTTAATGAAGATTTACATAGGTTTCTTTCTTTTTCTTTTTCAATAACTAATAACACCTAGAAATGTTTGTTTACAGATTTAATTGAAAAGGGATAGTAAAAAATACTTGCTATTTATTTAGAGATGGCTGTGTGTTAGATTTCATACCAGCCACTTGATTATTACATTCTTTTACTTATTCATTGTCATGAGAGATTATTAGAAATAATGGGTAATCTAAAAATCAATTATAGCTAGGATTAGATTAGACAGAAAGCATTCTTGTTTATATAGTAGGGGGCTTAAGAGAAATAACTCAAAGTGTCTTTAAAATTTAGTTTCTGTATGTTGTGTTCTGTCTCTAATACCAAAACTATAACCAAAGTTTATTTCTGATTTATAAGAGAAGAAAGTTTGTTCTGAGATTTTTTTTCAACCTGGACTTTAAATTTTTTGTTAGAAAAGATTAGCTGGGCTCACTAATAACTTCTTTAATATCAATAAGATAGCAGGTTTTTAGAAAATACATTTCAAGAGAAAGATCAGATTACTCGGTCAGTAGAATGAGGAGGGAAAAGTACAGTGAGATACAAGGACCCAGCTGCCAGAGGTGAGTAGCAAAAAAAAAGTAGGAAGAAAAGCTTGGCCTATTTGGAGAATATAGGCATACTCTCTTCACTTTTAGCTCCAGGCAGTTTCCCCTCCCCTTACTGGAAGTGATTTTTAACAACCAGAGCTTCATTTGGGTGCTCCTTGTCTGTGAGTTGGGAAAATGGTTGTCACAGCTGCCCCTTTGCTGAACAACTTGATGTCAGCTGGTAAGCCCAGCATTCTCTAGGTGAGTTTGAGGAGACTTGGTGGGAAACTAAAAATGAATAGTTAGGTTTGGGTTGTTTTTATTTAACCAAATGCAGTCATCTTTCCCTAACTTTTAAAGAAAATTCTTTTGGTACATTGGATTTTCTCTCCTATTCTTTTAAAATTGCCCTATAAAAAAAGAAACTATGGGAAAGAAAATTATTTTGTGTTAAAACTTACTCCTGGGCTGGAAGTGTAGCTCAAGAAGTAGAGTGTCTGCCTAGCAAACATGAGGCCCTACGTTCAAACCCCAGTAGCACTAAAAACAGAACAAAATAGAACAAAAAAACCCCCCAAAAACCAAAACCATACTCCTACTTCTAATCATGGTCGAGAATAGTGGCAGTTGTTGGAAGAACAGGAAAATGAGAAGAATGAGAGTCAATAATACCAAGTTAGAAATTCAGGAGGGTCTTAAACATTTAGATAAGGACCAAACTGAATGAAATGCCTATAATATATATATTATCTGCCACAAAATATATGTCTAAGGTTTTGAGGAAATCTGAAAATTGATTATATAGAAATTATTAATTATGTCTAACTGGACAATTTGGAAATGTTATATGTCTCCCCCATTTAGTGGGCTACTCCCTGTGATCCCTGCCTACTATCATGCCTTGGTCCTTTGATTTTTCTCTTCAGGTGTGTTTTTAACTCTGAAAACTCTATTGCTTTTTCAGGAACATCACCATCATATTTGGGAAGAGAGAGCTCTATAGCAACACTTGATTTATTTTCAAGCCTAACTTATGAACATGCTTTCTGTCCATTTCCTGATCACGGGCTGGGGATCACCAGACCTCTTGAGCAGAAGCACTCTATTCTTTTTCATCCCTTTTCCCCAAACTAGAAATGTATGGTCACCATCAGAAACTTGTTTTTATTAAAATCCATTATGCAAATAAGTTATAAACATCATGCACTTTATAAGAATTTGAAGAACTGACTAGCTATAGTAAATTGTTAAAAATTAAACTGCTCCAAAGTTGTGATTACTTTTATGTAGTTTATTTTAAGGCTGGTGGGCATAGAAGAGTGGAGCAATTGTGTATATATTAGTCACATTTGCTAAATTAGGGAGAACAAGGAAACAAAAAATTTTGTAATAGCCGTTTTCCCCTTTGTTTCAAGAGATGATATGGGATTATGTGGGTGAAAAAGACCAGGCATGGGATGACAAAAGTAGGGAAAGAAGTGGGATGAAGAGGTGGCCTATGTCTCTAATGCAGTACCACTGGGTATGGTTAACCTGTTTGTCACCAGAGAGATTAAATAAAAGAAATTATGATTGTATTTTTTTGTTATTGTAATTTAGCTGGTAGTATTTGTTGTGGGAGTTTAAAATTGTTTTTGATGTCTAGCATGCAAATGGGAAATAGCACCTAAGTGTACAGCCCAGGAATGCTCCAAAGTGTAGCCATGTAAGCAGCTCCAGGTCAGGAAACAACAATCCTGCTTCCTACCCTTTTCTAATTTCCCCTTCCCTGTTCTATAAACACTCTTCTGACTTCTAGCAGCATACATTAGTTTTTTCTTCTTCAGTCTTTAAAGGAACCTTTTGTCTGTGTAATAAACAAGATATAATGAACTCTAGGTAAAGGTAGAAAGAACAGCAGGAATCAGCAGCATTTAAGAAGGGAGGTGCTGGTTTGGGGGTGATACTGAATAGAAAATTCTCTCAATTTTACTCACTAGAGAGTCAGTTCTGATGTTAGTTCTCTTAAAATGCAGATGATGCCTGGATGATTAAAGCTAGAGTAGATTTGCTAATGCCCAGATGTTTTCTTTTTAATTGAGGGAGTAAATTTTAGGACATTTTGGGGGAAGGTTTTTGACAGCTAGAGGGCAGTCTAAAGACACTGTGTCTTACCTGCAGTAATGCTGAGGAAAATTAGTGAGGCAATTTAAATAATTTTTCCTGGAAAATCATCTTGCTTTTCATATAGATTGAATTTTTGAAGAGGTAATGTAACCTGTGGGATTGGGACAATTTACGTAATTTATTTAGGCCTTAGTTTTTGTGTCTATAAGATGGGAATAATCATACCCATCTCATATAATTTAATGAGTTAATAGTGAATGTCTAAGAGTAGTTAGAATATAAGTGTTAGTATAAAACAATAGTCACAAAATACCTAAGTCTTAGAGGTTAAAAAAAATCTCAAGAATGTCTTCTTTAAAATCTTTGTTTCATATCTACAAGTTTATTTAAAAATATTAAAGTAATTAATGTGAGTAGTTTAAAAGTAAAGACTACAATAGTGTCCTGCCCTGTACATCCCTATCCCTAAGGCTTGCTCTCTACTTTTCTCTGTTGTTTACCTTATTTTTCTAAAACACAAGACTGTCAGGCCATAACCCAGAGCTTCTGACTTAGTCTATTTAGGTGGTACCCAAGAATTTGCATTGCTGACAAAATCTTAGATGATGCTTATGTTGTTAGTTTGGGGATGACAACTGTGAACCACCACTGTAGTCCATAGATTTCATCCATTTTTCACATGTAACAGCTAGGGGTTGAGTCAGTAACTGAAACTAAACAATAAGCAGATTAAGTGGTTGAATGACTTATTAAGCAATAAGTGGTTGAATGGCTTCCTTCTGAGCACAGGATAAAGTTCATTCTTTATAGAATTTCCATCTAGCCCCAGCCAACTTTCCATTTCTCATCTGATTTCAACATCACAACATACATTTCAGCATTACTGAACTTTTGGCAATGTAAAACAATGTGCCATATTTCTCATCACTAACTTCTGATACGCAGTTCTTTCTTCTGAAATTACTGTCCCTCATTTAGCTGTCTGAAGGTACCTTCATTTACTTGTTGCTTTTGCATCACCGCATTCCTACACTCTTAAAACGGTATGTATATGTTCTGTCAGAATCCAGAAACACTGGATTTTCACTGTTTACTGTCTGTCTTCTGTTAGCTTGTTAGCTCCTTGGGACTTTGTGTGTGTGTGTTTTGGTACTGAAATCAAACTCAGGACTTCACATATGTTGGGTAAGTATTCTACCACTGAGCCACACCCCAGTACTGGGACTTAGTTTTTTTGTATCTTAATTATCACTGCTTTAGTATGGCTATTGGCATGTGATAGGAACTAAAATAAATGTTTGACTAAATCAATATAGAAGACATGTGGAGTGATGACTGCTCATATGTAGTTTTGTTAGCTTTAATTTGCATAAGCAGCAGCATGTACTCCCTTAACACATAGTGATGCTATCTGGATTTGTTAGGAGCCAGTACTATCCAGCTGTAGGCCTGGAGACTTAACTGTCTTAGATTCCTTTTCCTTACGTAGCTGAACTGGTTTAGAGTAGTGGAAGCCCATGGGGTGCTCTAATAATCCACACAGTTCCAAAATGATGACATTTTGATTGTTCTCACCTCTCAGCATCTTTCAGAATTTTGCATATTTTTTAAGGACCAATTGAAGTGCTAGCCCTGCAGCAAACTTCCCTTGCTTATCCCATGGAAAGCTTTCTCTTCTCTGTAAGTGTGGTATCGCTTAATGCTTGGCATGTGTGTTTTATCTATATTATTTTCATTAATGTTTTATCTTCCCTTTTAGGTTGCTAACTCCTTTTAGGACGGTGAAAATCTAGGGCTAAGCTTAAAAATATGCTACAGTGGTTGGGCTTTTACCAATAGATAGATATGAGTCACTAGAGTGTATATTCAAAAAAAGAAAAGAGAAAATAAGGGGCTTGATTATAACTGTATTTTAGAAATATTTAATGGGAGGCATAGAGAACAACAGTGACAACAACAGCAACAAACTGTTAGATGATTCAGATAAAAGATGCTATTTAATGTAAAAAGAGGATGGAATAGAATAGACATCTTAGAAATTTCATTTCCTCCTTGATGATAATTACTTGGGTGTGATAGAGCACACACCATGATACCGAGGCCATTGATTAGGATATTCTTCCTTACAGTAAGAGAAAATCTATCTCAAAACTAATTTGAGCAATAAAGGAGATTTATGGGCTTATGTTAAGTTAGGGTCAGTGCACTGAAATGATCTCTGCTATTCTCTTAGCACTACCATCCTCTTAACACTAAAATAGCTACAGCTTCATGCTTTTACTTTAATAAGCTGTATTTCTCCAGAGGAAGAAATTATACTGAGGCCCGGAGTTCCAGCCCAAGTCTTGAGCTTCATGTTGATTGAGTTAATCTCTCTGGCTGTTAAATCTTTAAAAAGAACAGCAAAAAATAATTTATTATGTGACCCAGATATTGTGGACCTGGGGCTGAAATACATGTATAATAAGGAGGTAACTACAATATTAGAGGAGATAAGCACAACATCCTCTAAAGTTTCTGTGGAAGATAGTGATGATGTTGATTGTAATAGGAAACAGGAAACATTACAAGTTTGAGAGAGAAAATACTAGTGAATTTGATTGGGGGCAAGGAGTGGTCAGGAGAGATAACAAGAAAGAGGAGAATTTCTGAGTGAGGGAACAGCTCCATGAAGGCCTTTCAAGAGAGAAGCAACTGGACTCATTCTAGAACTGAGAGAAGGCCATTGGGCTTGCTGCTAATGATGTAGAGGAAACTGTGAGATGAAGTTTTAGAGGGAGGGTGATGTCTTTTTGGTTATGGTAAGAAGTTCAAATTCCAAATGCAATGGGAAATGAGTGGCAAATATGACTAGTCAAATAACATGATCCAATATACACCTTTAAAAGAATATTCATGATGTTTTACAGAAAGAAATAGATAAGACTCAGGGACTGTAGAAATAGTAAAGGCTATCTCCTTAGTTTATAATAAAACTATACTGGGGTGTGGGGCAGAAGAAATGAAGAGACTAAGGAAATATTTTGTAATTAGAGTCAACTCTTATGATGGATTTAATTTAAAAGTTAAAGGAAGAGTTTTCTGTCTTGAACTAGTTTTCAAGTAGACATTACATGGGGAAAACTGGAGGACAGATAAGGTGAAAGGAAAATCAACTTTGCTAATACAAAGTTGAGAAGCTCTTTATTTCTGAGAAAATATTTTAAATAGTTGGCTAAATGGATCTGGTGCTCATGTGGGCTTTTCTTTTCAGTTTTGGTAGATCTTGGGCATCAGGTTCTTTACTCTGAAAAAGTTGCTTAGGTTTTCAGAGTAGTTACTGAAATTGCATTTTATTCTTTTTCTTCACTGGGCTGACTTTTCTAAACTTTTCTGCTTATATGCACATTTTGCTGAGACTTAAAAACTAATTATTAAAAAATAATTATTTTGACTATTTTGTATCTGTGCATGATAGGAAGTTCAGAAGATACAGTTGGACCTTCCTATTGTCAATTAATCAGTTGCCTTTCCTGGAAGCAAGCTGTGTTCCTCATTCTTATAAATCATTCCATACCAGTATATAGAGAGCTGCTTTTAATGGTTGCATGGTGTTCTGTTGTACAGGCATATCATTTATTTACAAGTTTCCCATTGTAAACTTAGATTTTGACAACTTTTACTATGCTAGGATTAGTTCTTTAGTTTATATAAAGAATATATTTGCACGAGGTATGGTGGTGTGCCCTGTAATTCCAGCTACTCAGGAAGATCACTGTTCAAGGCCAGGCTGGGCAAAGTTAGCATGAGACCCTATCTGAAAAACAAACTAAAAAAGCAAAGCAATGCCGGGTACCTGTGACTTATAGCTACAATCCTAGCTACTCAAGAGTTAGAGATCAGAAGAATGGCGGATCAAAGCCATCCCTGGGCAAATAGTTCGTGAGACCCTATCTCGAAAAAACCCATCACAAAAAAGGGCTGGTGGAGTGGCTCAAGGTGTAGGCCCTGAATTTAAAACCCAGCACCGTGGAATTTGATGCTGTGCTTTTGACTGGATTTTATTGAGTTAATGTAATGACTGTTTGCATTATGATTGCCAGTACATCTATGTAATTTATATAGTTGTTCTTTTTTAAAAACTACTGCAAGTGGTTTCTAAGTAATTGGAGAACAGTGCTTAATACTATATTTGACACTGGGTATGGTGGTGCACACCTGTAATCCCAGCACTTGGGAGACCAGAGGTAGAAGAATCACAAGTTCAAGTTCAGCATGGAGTTCATTGCAACACCTTGTTTCAAAAAATAAAGTGCTATACTTGAAACTCTATATTATAACATAGACACTTAATGTTAAGTATTTTCAATCACTATTATCTTTAATTTTCAGGTTTTATCTGAGAGAACTAATATTGAACTTTGGGTTTGTGCCAACATCATTTGTCTCTTTAATGATGATAACACAATTCCCTTCATTGTGCGCTATCGGAAAGAGCTCATTAATAATCTTGATGCTGATTCCTTGAGAGAAGTTCGACAAACCCTAGAGGAGCTACGGTAAGAATACCTGGGAAGGGATGAGCCTAATGTAGGGGATAGAGGCTGTGTGGGCCAATGGGGAGAAACAGGGAAGAAGTAAATGATAACATTTTTTTTGACAGTTCTAGGGTTTTGTTTCCTTGGATTATTGTGATCTGAATATAGTCTTTTGACAAAGAGTCAGGTCTGTTTTACTTATTTGAGAGTGTATGGAGTCCCTCTGCTGGTGTGTGTATGTATAGCATGGGCCTATATTAACAGAAAGGTGATTTGTAGTAAAAGTGTATATACCTCAGGGTGAATGTCTCATGAACACCCTTCCCCAACCTCTCTTCTATCCATGATCCTCCTAATCACCTTCTGGAATAGCTAGGATTATAGGTGAGCGCCACTGTGCCCAGCCCTAAGCTCAGCATTTGTATTAGTAGAGCATTGGTTTTCAATCTGTTAATTGCTGCTATACATGAGAAGTGAATCCAATTTAACAAGTTATACTTAAAAAGCAAAATAGAGAATAGAAAATGTAAGAGTGCAGTTTATCTGGTGGAGGTAAATATTGTTTCTTGTAACATTTTTTGAATTATATTTATGAATGTATATACTGAGTTGCAAGGTAAAAAGTGTTACTGTTATAAAGTGAATTAATATAATTATGAACAGTAAGAAAAGTTTCTTGCATTTTTCTCTAAAGTTGCCTCTCAACTTCTTTATATGTATGTCAATAGGATTTTGGCTTTTGTCAAAATGATCCTGGTGGTCTTTAGCCTTTATAAAAAGTTTTGGGCTACCAGAATTACAAAAGACATACAGATTATAATCTAAGGACTGCATATTCTTTCCTTTACTTAGCAATCTTCTTTCTTTAGTTTAAGAAATATGTAATTATATTTGATTTTCTTTTCCATCAATCATTTTAAGTAGTTCATGTTATCATCTCTAATGTTTGGCCATCCTGTTACCAATATCATTATTGGACAGATTCTATAAGTGGGACAGGTAATGAAATAGGATGGGAAGCATTACCTATAATAATAGGATTGTATATTCACAGTGAAAACCATTGTAAAGTGGGAATTACTGTGCCCACCCTTGTCCCTACTTGTGTGTTGGTTTCTGTACATCGGTTCCTTGTTCTTTTTAGTGGAGAATGCAGTCCTGGTTCTTCTTAGTGGAGAATGGTATTTAAAAACCAATTGTGACTAAGTATGCCCATCTTGAGCAGTGATGCTCCAATAGCGATGAGCAAACCTAATACCCATAACTTGATTTCTAAGTGCCAGCTTTCTGATTCCTAGGGCTGAGACAGGGAAAGTAAAAGGTGAATCTGAAATATCTTATGGCAGAGAATAAGGAAGTACCCAAAGGATGAGGAGGACATGTTGACAGAATACAGCAGCTAACTTGAAGGAGTTACTTGTGGCCAAATCTGGGACAATGTGAGCATTAAGATAAGTGGCAGAAAGGGTATGGGACATGGCTCAAGGAGGCCCTGATTTCAAGCCCCAGTGACCCACCTCCAAAAGAAATGATAGCAATGGATTTTCACCACTAAATCAAATAAGAAACCACATGTCTATAAATAAATCAGTGAATAAATTGAAAGCCTAATAAGGAATGGGCTAATAGTCTCAAAATACCATTCTACAAAATATTCATGATTTGCAAAGGGATAAAGAGTTCTGGTATCATGGGGAAACCCACAGACACCACTTAGTCAAATGATCAAAGGTAATTAGTAATAGGACAAATAAAAAAATCATTTGTCACCTAATAAAATGTAGTGAGAAGGACACAGTGGTACTTCTGTGATATAGCTGCAAGGAAGCACCACCTGAATTTAATTGTAAGGAAATAATTAGAGGAACTCAATCTTCAGGATATTCTACAAAATAATTGGCCTTTAGCATTCTGAATCAAAGAGAATCAAGGAGAGTCAAGGAGAGCCTGAAATACTGTTTTAGCTTGAAAGTGACTAGACACATTGCAGCTAGATGCAACTCATGGTTCCAAAGTAAATCCACTACAAAGGGCATTACTGACACTGTTGGTAAACTGGAAAAAGGCCTCAGGTCTGAGGATTATATAATAGCAATATATCAGTAATAGTTACCTAAGATTGATGGTTACATTGTGATTTTTGTAGAAGATTATTGTTTGTACGAAGTGCATACTAAAGCATTTGGGGTGATACTGTCAAAGAGCCAGAGGAAAAGGATTCTTTTTACCTTTACCTGCAACTTCTGTATAAATGTGAGAGAGCTCAAAGAGAAAGTTTTGATGTATAGGTCTTGTGTACTACAAAACTTTTTATTTTCAGGGCTGTTGCAAAGAAAGCTCATAGTACAATCCAGAAAATTAAGAAGGATGGGAAGATGTCTGAGTGCTTATTGAAAGCCTTGTTGAACTGTAAAACTTTTGAAGAACTAGAACATGTGGTAAGGAAGTCTTTTTTTATTTAAATCCCACAGAGAGGTGCACCATTCTTGGAGGTACCGCACTATCAGGTCGATGTGTGGAGTGGATGGAGCAAGCTCCTATTCCATCTTCCTGTTTCAAAAATCCATTTAATATATTGTCCTTGGATAGAGGACATATCAGATAACAAACTGATAAGAATAGATACTACACTTGATCTTAGCCAAAAGTCCGAGAAGTGATTGGAAAGGAAATCTTTTTATCTTTTGATGTAATAACTAATATATTGTGATTTGAGTCTTTATATAATTAAAAAAGGCTAAGGCATAAAAAGCTAAAGTCATTAGCCACCATTATTCAGTTCATCAAAATACTTATCCTTTATTCAATAAATATTGATTGCATGCTTTTTTTTTCCTGCCAGCACTTGGGTTTACAAATTCAGATAATACATAGTTCTTGTCCTCAAAAGAATTCCCATTTGAGTGAGGGAGAATAGATTATACCAATGTGAAACGTAAGGATGAGTGCTGAACTGGAGCTCTAGACACAGAGTCTTCAGCCCGTAGTTGGTAGCTGGCCCTCCAGTTATTTGTGGGTTCCACATCTACAACTCTGGATAAATGATCTTTATTAATCATGTACAGACCTTTTTGTTATTTCCTAAACAATATAGTATAACTATGTATATAGTGCTTACATTGTCTTAAGTATTATAAGTAATCTAGAGATGACTTAAGGTTTTCAGGAGGATGTGGATAAGGTTATATGAAAATGCTATGCCATTCTATATAAGGGACTTGGCATCCTCAGATTTTGGTGTTCACAGGAGTAAGAGGGCTGTTCCCAAAATCAATCCTGCAGGGATACTTGTGGGAGGGTTGTATTTGGAAACTATGGGAATGGAAGAACTCACTCGAGGAGAGCTGGTGAGGGAGTAGGTCCTGGCCAACCATTATGAAGCACCAGCTTTTGAAGTGTGAGAGAGAAAAGGTAACCTAAGAGATGAAAAAATGGTCAGAGAATAATGAGGAGAATCAGGGGGAGATGGTATGTGAAACTGCAGAACAGAAAGTTTTAGGAGGAAGTAATGATCAATAGTTACATGTAACAGGGAGATTTGATAAGATAAGATTGAAAAACTATATTTTATAATTAGGGGATCATCATAGATCTTTGTAATACTACTTTCAGTAAGGTGTGTGGGAAGAGAAGCCAGATGGTGATGGGTTGAGTAGTGAATGTGGATTAAGAAGTAGAAGCATTGTGTGTAGACATCTTTAGAAGATCTTGCTTGAATTGAAGAGGGCATTATAGTCCAGGCAATGAATTTTTAAGATGAATAAAACCAAACAAATAGCTAATTAAACATGTAAAAAAGTGTAAAGAGTAAGATAAGGTACATACCATTCTTAATACATGCAGTATTAGCTAGGTAGGAAGAATTCATCTCTGAAGGAAGAGAACAAGACTAAGAAAAGGATATCTGTAGCATCCCAGTTTTAACTTTTGTTTTTTAAAACCGATTCCTATGATATGTTTTCTGCCTCCTCCCCCCAGTCTGCTCCATATAAAACTGGGAGCAAAGGCACCAAAGCTCAAAGGGCAAAACAGTTGGGATTAGAGGGAGCAGCCTGGACCCTGCTTGAGAACCCAGGAGATCTAAATCTGCTGTCGTACATCAGACCGGACATTAAAGGTACCACCGCTTACCTAAGGAGATCAGTCCTGTGCCTTCCGTCCTCCTCTCCCCCATCCCTCCCTTCCTTCTCACCTTTCTCCTCCCTATTCAAAAACTTATGTTGAAAATATATAAAAGAATGACTATACAACAGAATGTACAACAGGTAAAGAATGAATGAGTCTAATAAACTAGACTCTGGCAGACCCTTGGTTAGCCGTTCTGCCTGTTTGTCATTTGTCCATTGTTCTTTTATGTTGTTCCTCATTTTCTAATGAACTTAAAAGTATTGAAAAATATTCTTGGAGGACTTTCAGTGTATAAATGGCTTTTTTCAGGATTACTTTTAGGATTTAGTAGGGAGATAGATGTTTTGTTCTACTGATTCATTCCTTCCTTCTCTCTTTACCTCCCTCCATTCTTCCTTCCCTCCCTCCTTCCCTTCCTCTCTTCTTTCCTTCCCTCTCATCTGTAACTCAGGCTGCCCTTGAACTTGTGATCTTTCTGCTTCCACCTCCCAAGTACTGGGATTATAGGCATGCACACAAAAAAAATTTATATTTTTAAAAATTGTATGTCTTTAAGACATACAGCATGTTTATATGTCTGTATATGTGTATGGTTAAATGGTTGCTATAGTCAAACAATATTGTACATGATAATTAAATTAATATATCTGCCACCTGACAGTTACATTTCAGCTCTTACATTTCTGTTAAGAGCTCCTAAAAGATACTCTCTTGGCGAATTTTTAGTATATATGCAATATTATGAACTATAATCTTCATGTTGTACGTTAGATCTCCAGACTTATTCAACCTACTTACCTGCAAATTAACTGTAACTTCTAGTTTCTTTGCCTTTCTCTTGACTCTTTAGCCTGGGAGACATAGTGTCTATAGGGGGCAGTCTCTGATAACAAAATCCATACTGTGTGCCTAGCTCTAGAGAATCATAGCATCCCATAAGCTATTTTTATTTTAAATAATCTAGCAAGTGTGAATATGTGATTTTAAAAAATTAAGTATGTATGTATGTGTGTGTAAAATACAATATCTGATCATACATGCATCTTAATATGTTTGTGAAAAGACAATGATGAAAAGAAAAGGCAAAATAAAATTATTTCAAGCTTAGAGATACGTAGAAATGAGTAAAATTCAAGTTTGTTTAATTTTTAATGTTTATTTATAGTTGGATTTTCAAATAGTTGCAACATTTACTCTCTTAATAATAGCTGAGACTGAATAGCCAAGCCTTAAGGTTAGCCACAGGGGGAACTGCCTGTGCCTCTCATCATATGCTTTGTTAGAATGGCACATATGAGCCCTTGCAGTGTTGCCTGTTCTCCCTTTTTTCTTCCTATTCTGTTTGGTACAAAGGTCTCCTTAGTTCTTACTCACACTGAGTTCCTAAGGGGTAGGTTTTAGATAACCATATCTCTTTGATTGTTGTACCTGGGATACTCTTGAGACAGATGATGATGATGGCCACCAGGTAGTGACATTTGTGATCACGTGGATAGCTGGAGACCCAGCTTAGTGATAGTAGTACTTGCAGACATAGCAGGACTTTCTGTTTGCTTTTATCTCTCTTTCTTTCACCTTGATTACAATTATAATTAATTATGTTTAATTAATTCCAAAAGCTATACAATGCATTTTAGCTTGTTTGAAATGTTTTTCCTTTCTTACTGCCTCTTTGTTTTTTATGCTATACACATACACGTGACCACCCTCAATTCTGTTACTGTTTTTCTTTGTTCTTTTAGGCAAGTGCTCTACCACTTGAGCGCTTTTGTTTCTATTTTGTTTTCAAAAGGTCTCATTAACTTTGCCCAGGCTGGCTTGGATTTGTAATCCTCCTGCCTCCACCTCCTTAGGAGCCAGGGATTATAGGTGTGTACTGCTGTGCCCATCTCTGTTAACTTTTTTCTAAAGAATTGTTTTCATCATTCTCATTATTTCTCAAAGAAATATTTAAGAAACCAGATACTTTGTTTTCTTTTCTCCCCTGAATAGAAGACATTTCTTTCTTGCCACAGACCAAGGATTTAAGAATTTGCTTTGAATAAAGAAGCTGTACTGTGCTACAGTTGGGCTAAGTCCCAGAGGTTCCAGAACATCCCTATATTGTACACATGGAGGAGTAGCTGATTGATCTCATCCTCCTTTGTAGCTAGGATTATAGGCATGAGCCACCCAGACCCATATATATGTACGTACATATACATTTTTTGGGGGGGGGTGGTACTAGCATTTGAAGTTGGGACCTCATGCTTGCTAGGCAGGCACTCTATCCCTTGAGCCACTTCACCAACCCTTTTTGTGTTTTTTGGGTATTTTTGAGATAGGGTCTCATGAACTGCTTGCTAGGACTGGCTTTAAACTGTAATCCTCCTGATCACTGCCTCCTGAGTAGCTAGGTGCCTGGCTAGAGATGTATATTTTTAACAAGCTTAATTTCTGATCCTCAGACTGTACTTTACAAAACATTGCTCTAGAGCTCTAGCATAATTTTAATTATATAGGATCATTAATAATTGCATAAGATTCTTAAATTCTTTTCACTCCATATGATGGGGGCTTTTCAGATGCCCATTGTCATAGCAAAGCCTATATTTTCTTTTTTCACTAGTGGTTTTCACTATAGGTTCCCCCCCACCTTTTTCTTTTAGCAGTACTGGGGTTTGAACTCAGGGCCTCACGCTTTCTAGGCGGACGCTCTACACTTGAGCCACTCCGTCAGCCCTCCATTTTTACTACTGACTTCTCACTCTTGTGTTCTCATTAAACTTTGTGTGATGATGCTCTTTGGAGCTCCTGGAGTTAGTGCATAATGAATAGTTTTCTTAGGTGAAGATTGATCTAGAGAGATAGTTAAGACAAGTGCAAGCATTTATTGAGTTTTTACTGTGTGCCACTACTGTTCTAAGTCCTTAAAATATACAGTTGTTCATGTTGTGAAGGTAATTTGTTACTGGAGATTTCCTCTAGAAAAAAAGTATTATATATTTGATACATTGTAAGAACCTGTATAAATGCCACAATCTACCCCACCCAGCACAACAATAAAGGAAATAAGTAAATAAATAAATAAAAATATTCTTAAATGTACACAGAATTCCTATTAATTTCAATAGTCAAACTTCTTTAAAATACATACAGTTGCTTTAGTAGTTGCCATTATATATCATAGCACAATAAAAAAGGTGTTTTCTCTTCAATTAATTATGCCATATGTCTATTTTTCTGTTTTCTTTGGCTTTTAAACCTATTACTCATTAAAACTGCTTGCAGAAAAACATGTTTATGATACTCAGTGCTTGTGAGTTCAAGCCTTAATGTAAAACAACAGCAAAAGCTTTTTTTTTTTATTGTTTTGTTATTCATATGTGCATACAAGGCTTGGGTCATTTCTCCCCCCTGCCCCCACCCCCTCCCTTACCACCCACTCCGCCCCCTCCCTCTACCTCACACCCCCTCAATGCCTGGCAGAAACTATTACAGCAAAAGCTTGAATGCAAATAGAATAATGACAAAAGAAAAGAAAGTAATGCAAATAGTCTCTGTCAGTGTATAAACTGATATCGTAGGGCTCATGATGTACAAGATGCAGTGCTGAAAATCAGCAAACTAAAAGTGCTTAGAGAAAACTTAATGTACCATTGTTAGATGGTTTATTTGTGAAGATGAATACCTGTACAGATAGCTCTTGTTTTGTGTTTTTGAGATTTAAAAAATTCAGTTAGGCCATTAAAATGTGAATAAATGCCTCAGAACCCAAAATAGGAGTATTTATAAAATTGCTGAAGGAATTTTTTGTAATAAATGAAATTGTAAATATGACTCTGTTAATACATATTTCCTGTGACATTTAATATTTTCAATAACTTTCATGAAGGAGGTACTATTGTTTCATTTTCACAGGAGACAGAGGTAGAGAAGTCAAGTTACTTGTCTGTGGTCCCAGAATTGATAAGAGGTGGAACCAGGAGTAGACTAGGCAATTGGCCCAAATGCTACCTTGTCACCACTAGGCAGGGTACTATGTAAAAGGCCAGCATTATTAAGACACCAGTCAGTACCACTGTACCTTTCTGTCTTAAGTGTGTTAATTAAGTTTTTAACTAAAATTTAGTAAAGTGGGATTTAATTATAAAACCAATCTCATGCTTTTTGTTTTTGTTCTCCTTACCTCTCTCCTAAAGGGCTTTCTGCACTCCAGGACATTGAAACAGGAGTGCAGCATATTTTAGCAGATATGGTTGCTAAAGATAGAGATACTCTTGACTTCATTCGGAAATTGTGAGTAATTCTTTCGTGGAGTTTTTGCTTTGTAGACTCATGCTGTTAAAGGTCACATGGGTTGTGCTAATACCAGTGTTCATTAAAAACTCTGTTTTCAGGCTTGTTTTAGTAGCAGGACTCTTGTTCAGACATTAGAACCCTAATATATAAAACAGATAAAAGTTGTTTTAATTAAGTTCTGGGCAGGGAGCCTGGAACTCTGCCTACTTATCCTTCTTACATGAGGCACCTCAGTGGAGGCTCTGATGAACACAATTTTAAAAAGCTTCATTACACAGTGCATAATAGAGAGAGTCCTGTTCATTTCCAATGGGTGACAGTGCTTTTTAAACATGTTGATTATGATGTATGCACTTAATTTTATAATATTTTATTTCTGATGTTTACCTGTGATTGGGTTGAAATGACAACGTATGATAGCAGGTGTGGATAAAAGTGCTGACCTCAAAATGAATTTTAGTTGTTGGGAAGAGCAGCTAATCTCTGGCATCACTATCTAACTATGAGATTATAGCTTTCTTGGGCTTATGGATTTTATACCTCATTAAAAGCCCTATTTATGCACTCTGTTTTTTTTTTTGCTAAATATCAGAAGAGAAGACTGACTTGCCAGATTTCTCTCTCTCTCTCTCTCACACACACACACACACACACACACACACACAAACACTTCTTGCCGTATGACTTCAGAGTAAAGGCAAGGCTATTAGCCAGTTGACTACTGTTGCTTGTCAGTCTTTGAAGAGACTTTTCTATACACTCAGTGGCCCTAGCAGGCATGAGTTGAAGTAGAATTGCTTAGGTTGAAAAAAGTGTGTTTTTTATAAGCAAGTATTCTGCTGAAATTTGGTTCATTTTCAGAAAATTCTTGGTGGAAGCTACCCTCGTACATTTTTTGTTTCTTCTTTTCAGCTTTTATTTGTCTGTGGCTGCCTAATTCAGTAGATATTGGATGTCTAGATTATTGGTCTATTTCATATAGACAGTTTTGGTCTCTTGCATAACTATAAATCATATCTGAACTCATTTAGTCATTTCTGGGGGGATTGGTGGATATATATAAATAGATCTGTAGGACATAGCATGATAGGCATAGTCCTTTTGGCAGGTAACATCATTTTCACATTTGGGCATCATTAAAGAAGTAATGGTTTAACTTTTTGCTATCCTTAGTTCCATATAACTGTTAAAAACTAAAGTATATATTAATTACTATTTGTTTTTCAAACATTTTTGTATCTGAGCAGGTGCCACAATAGATACATTAGTATCCAGTCATCTCTGGCAAAAGTGTCCTCAAAAAAAGTAAATGAGAAAGATGTTGATAAGTTTTTGCTCTACCAGAACTTTTCATGTAACATAAGAAACATCCACCATCATCAGGTAAATAAGGACACTGCTTATGCTTACTGACTGTAGTAATAATACTTTGAACTTGCTTTATACTTTACTAAGGATTTAAAGAATTTTATATAAACTACTTTTTGTTTCATATAAAATTCTTAAAATATTGTGTTCTTCTGATTTCATAGTGGGGGAAATGAAAATCCATAGAAGTTAGTGACACTGAAAAATTTTAGCTGAGCGAAAAATGTAACAGTTCAGGTGTCTTGCTTTCTGGCTGGTGATCTTTCCTGTTAGATCCGGCTTTCCATATGCATGGGTTTAAACTCAGTTCTAGATCTTTTCCATGTGAAATACAAATTGGAACTATCTGACTTAGAGCCAGGTGCCCGTGGCTCACACCTGTAATCATAGCTACTTAGGAGGTAAAGATCAGGAGGGATGGGGGGAGGAGACCCAGGGCGGGGGGAAGAAGAGGGGAGAGAACCCTTTCTCAGAAAAACGGCTGGTGAAGTGCCTCAAGCAATAAGAATGCCTGCCTAGCAAGAGTGAGACGCTGAGTTCAAACCCCAGTGCTGCCTCCCCCAAAAGAAATAACCTGATTTACAATGAGGTATGAGAGATCTTATTTAGTAGTATGAACTATAGTGATTATATTAGTCTTCTAATTTCATTTTTCAGTTTACTATTTTATTTTTCTAAATGTAGTCATAGACTTCATGAACATTGTACCTTTTAAATAATATAGAAGAAAAGAATTGCTGCAAGGTAAAAGTCCAGTATTTCTGGCTTTTATATTTACACATGAAGCTACTGTAACCAGTGTTCTTTATTTCTTTATATGGCTTTGAGTTACATCTAGAATTTCTTCATTCCAGACTTAAGGACTATTGTTTCATGTAGTTCAAGTCTAGTGGTGACAAACTGCCATAGTTTTTGTTTGTCTGGAAAGTCTTGATTTCTTTTAAAAAAGAAAATTTAGTAGCAAAATGCTTCTAACAAAATGTGCCATCTTAACCATTTTAAGCATATAGTTCATTAATGTATAGCATATTCATATTGTCGTGCAGCCACTCTCCAGAACTTTGTATATGGTTTTTGAGAAATCTGGTGTCAGTCTAAATTTCTGTCTCCTAGAAATGCTGACAATGTCCGATGTCATTTATTTATTCTCTTTGACTTTTGTAGTTCTTTTAGGAGGGGGAAAGGGAGACTGCCACTGTTCTTCAAACCTAAAAGTTCTCAACAAATAATTTTAAGTTTATTTTTCTTCCTATCTGTATTTCAGTACTGTAAAGAGAGGATAATGGAAAATGCTAGAAAGTTTTACCTTTTATGTGATATTTAATTTTTATCATTAAAATGTTAAGAAAACGTCTGCTGGCAGAGACATGAAAATTTTTTGATTGTTGTAACATGACATAAAGAGACTTTAATTTTCCAAAGAAAATTTTTGAAATCCTTAACTATGTAATAGGTTTTATCTGAGCTATAGAGGAGACATGGCTCCTGTCCCTTAAAGATTTAAAATGTTTTGCTATTATACCTAATGTCTATTTTACTTTTGTGTACATTGTATTTATCATGTCAGGTGAAGTACATACTTTCAATAATTTGAAAAAATGTTGATAGAATAAAATTTTGCTTGCTTAGTTAACACATGGAGTGTAATGAAACATAATTTTTAGTAGCATCAGTGACTAGGGCTGGATATGTAGCTCAGTGGTAGAGCATGTGCCTGGAATGCCTGAGGCACTGCAAAACCAACCAACCAACCAAACAAAATGGTATCAGTGATTAAGCATGCTAAGATTTCCTTTCAAAAATAACTTAATGTCATAATTTGACCCCTCTTATGTTTTTAAATTTTTTGTTGCAACTTTAGAAAACATAAATACTTTTATTCTAATAAAAATCAGCCTTTGTAATCTTTGCTTGAAAGTATTTAGTCAGTCTCAGCATTTTAAATACTGTGTTTAGCACATGTGGCATTCTGAGTGTGACTGAATGTAAATTTATGATTGACACAGGCTTCTGAATGTGACAGCACTCAGGCCTGAGAAGGTAGACCATTTGGGGAATGTCAGCTTTTAAAAGCAGTTCTGTGTTTTAAGAACTTTTTAGATTATCTTGTAGGCTGGAGGAATGATGTACTAGGGCACAAAAATAGCTTTGCAATCCTCATAGTGCAGAGTCTCCATGTCCCTAGCTCTGAACTCCACTTTCCACCCTGCACGGAAACATGGTAGCATATAATACCTAGGGATACAAGAATGGATGAAAGTCAGTGGTAAAGGAACAACATAGCCTGAAACTTCCCTGTGTACTGTGGAGATAGCTCTTATGCCTGTCTAAATTAATTCTCTGACAGCATCTTGTTTTTTTTTCCTTAAACATGTAAATGTTTATTGACAACTTTATTAAGCAATGCCACTGAAACAATTTAAATTAATTACAAAGTTACAAAGACTTTTGTTTGTTTTGTTTTGTCTTGCTATGTAACTAGGCTGGCCTGGAATTTATGATCCTCTTGCTTCAGCATCCTGAGTGCTGGGGAGGACAGTCTTTAGAACATCTCATATGCCATAAATAACATACAAGCCATAAATAAGTACCATATCTCCTCTATGTTACCTTTTAGTTTCTTTTAAACAACATGCATCTAGTTCATATCACCATTATTCTTATACTTTGTTCCGTATTACAGTAATACTTAATTTTGATGCCTTCTCAGGAAATAGTAATTTTCCAATCTCAAAAAAAGAAGAAATACCTCCACAGAGCGGCAAGGCTCAGGATCTGGTTACTAATTCTTGTGTGGGCACGAGACCTGTCTGCCTCACCAAAGTGATTAAAACCCAAACCCCCGGAGTCCTAATGCTGTTTCCTTTTCGTACATAAACTTTACTTACATTTGTAAGACTACTTAAGCCCACATCTTCCATTTAGATTTTAGTTTTTTGTTACCTAGTGCTCCCTTATAATGCTGGATATTGAATGGAAAAAGCAACATGTGGAAGGCTGTCTATAGTGTCCACTTTTGTATAAGAAGTCACATGGGGAAGAAAATACAATATAGTTGCTCATATATTTCTGAAATAAACCACAGAAAGATGGAATAAAAACTACTACAATTGGTTACCTAAAGTCTATCACAGTTCTTAATATTAATCATAACTGGACTAGGAAAAGTATAAGTAGCTTCAGTCACCAGTTCATTGAAGTTAGAGCTGTCACTTTCCTGGGCTTGGCATCAGATGATCTAGGAATGACCCAGGTCTGATATCGCTGTTTTAATTTCTTTCTAATCTTAAACTGATTTTTTATTGCCACCAATTCCCTTGACTCAGTCATTCTTTCTGGCAGGAAAACTACATTTCTGTTTGACTCATGACCAAGCCCTTTCTTCTCCAAATTGGTCCTTAGTGAAGTCGTTTCTTCCACATGAATTTGTAATTCAGCCTTCATGTTCTTTCATGAGATCTTCCATTCCTGTTCTTTTTTGTTATCTGTTTCACTGATATCCCACTTTCTGTGCCTTTTATACGCTATTTCCTGCCCACTGCTTTTATACCATTACTCAACTTCTATTCTACTTATTTCAACTTAAGTTCTGCCACAAGCTCTATTATTTCTCAAGTTGAAGAACTTTCCTTCTGTTCCTAGTTTGTTGAATTTTTTTAATTAAAAGGAGCTGTTGGATTTTGTAAAATGCTGTTTCTAAATCAATATATTGATTATAAGATTTTTGGGTTTTTTAAATTGATGTAATGTACTCTATTAAATTGATTTTGTGATGTTAAACCATCTGGGCATTCCTGGAATAAATTCTGCATTATCCTGGTATAAAATCCCTTTCATGTGTTTCTGGATTTGGTTTGCTAAGCATTTTACTGAGGATTTTTGCATCTATATTCATAAGATTTTCTGCTCTCTAGTTTTCTTGTGAAGTCTGCTTTGGTTTTGTATCAGGGTAATACAGGCTTCATAGAGAGTTGGCAGGTTTTCTTTTCTCTTATATTTTTGGAAAATTTTATGAAGAGTTAGTATTAACTCTTTAAATGGAAGAGTTCAATAGTAGAGCCACCTAAGCTGGGCATTTCTTTATGAGAAATTTTTAAATTGTGAACTCAATGTCTTATGTTGTTTTTGGATTTTCTATTTCTTTTTTACTTGGTTTTGGTAGTTTTTGTCTTTTTTTCTTTATCTTCTTTTTTTGTTTTTGCAGTTCTGGGGTTTGAACTCAGGGTCTACACCTTCACATCCACCAAGACTCCTCCTGCCCCATTTTTTTTTTTTGGTGTGTGTGTGATGGGTTTTTTCAAGATAGGGTCTCATGAACTATTTGCCCAGGCTGGCTTCACACTGTAGTCCTCCTGATCTCTGCCTTCTGAGTAGCTAGGACTACAGGCATAAGCCACCAGCACTCTGCTGAACCTTCATCTATCTTAAGTTATCTAATTTGGTATATTGTTCATAGTACATTTTATCACTTATTTCTATAGGATCTGTAGTGATGGCTTCTCTTTTGTTCCTCATTTTGGCAATTTTTGTTTCCTCTTTTTGTTAGTCTAGCAAAAGTTCTGTCAGTTTTGCTAGATATTTTCAAAGAACCAATTTTTGGTTTTGTTGATAGTCTGTCTCAGTTTTCTGTTCTGTTTTATCAATTTTCACTCTACTATTTTCTTCCTTCTGCTTGCTTTAGGTTTTGTATGCAATTTTCTGAGTATTTTTAATATGTTTTAAAAGAGCTACTTTCTTGATATAATATTAATTAAGAGCAGCATTTGAATTTAAATTCTTCCTTTGCTACTTGTTAGCTTTGTGATTTGGGAAAGTTAGTCTCAGAAAAATTATATCAAATGAAGATAAAGCATACATCACTGGTTGCTGTAAGGATTAATTACTTAAGATAATGCATTTAAAATATTCAGATGGGCCTTATAAATGCTTAGTAAATGGTAACAATTAGTAGTTGTTAAAGATTCCTCTGAGGATTTTGTACATTTATATTTGTCTTAGCACAAATCATCTTTTCACAGTTATAAAAGGTATATTTTCCTAGCCCTAGTTGGTCAAAAATGCTCTAGTAGTAGAATCTGAGCATGAGAGTGTCTCCTCTTGTGAAGATGATTGATCTTGTACCTGTATGTTATTTTTAAAAAGCATGCCATGGTTTTCTTTATAAGGAGATAGGCTACATGAAGAAAGTACAAATTATTATTTTTGAATACATTTTTTTGCAAATTAAAAATCATTGATACAGCTCTGGACTAGATATGCTCTTGATTTGTTTCATAAATGTTTATGGATTACATTTATCACTTGCATGTTTTGTGATTATCAGTCTTTGCTATATATGTTTGTGTGCAGATTCTAGCAATTAACCGTGGAGAAAATTTGAAGATACTAACTGTCAAGGTCAACATTCCAGATGGAGTAAAGAATGAATTTTGTAGGTGGTGCATCCAAAACAGGTCTGTTTATAGATTTCTACAGAATCTCTTTTCTTTCTAAAATACCTTACTGATATCTTTATGTACAAAATGGAAAGATGTCTGTTTTTTTTTTTAAATCCTGTTTGTGTCTTAGTCTTTAGCAAAAAATTGTAAAAGTAAAAAAAAATTTTAATGGGAAATGTTTATAGGATAAGAACAGAAAATATTTTTGTACAGCTGTCTTGCATCTTAAGCTAAGTGTTATTACAAAAGTCAAAATTTAAAAATTAAATTTTTATAAAGTAAAATGTGAAATAATGTCTTCCTTCTAAATTTAAGGAAATTTAGTAATGTTTCATGTAATTTGGTAGCATAATGTCTGATACCGAATAGGCCTTCGATGCTATCTATAATTGCAAAGTGGTGGGATTTTGATTGCTTTAGTAAATAGATCATAGTAAATTGGGGACAATTTCTAGCTTATAATACATTACAATATTATAAATATTCATAATTCTTAGTATCAGAGTCAGTCACCAAAAAGAAGTGTTAGTTATACTTTTAACCTATTATCTTTATGCTAAGTAAATATCAGAGAATGGTTTTCCTTACAAAGATTTAATTGTTTTTCCTTGGCTTATCTATATTTTATTTTATTTGGTTGTATTCCAGTTGAATAATCCATAATATTATTTAAGTTACAATGTAACATGTTATATAACTATGGTATTTTAATATAATTTTTAATCATATTTGGAAGTTTTTCTTCATATAGATAATTCCAAGAGCTGAAACATTTCTCTGGGCGCTGAAGGATTACTCTCAAAAACCTTTTTTCTTTTTTCCTTGTTGCAGTACTGGGGTTTGAACTCAGAGCCTTGCTAATTCTACCACCTGTGCCATATCCTAGCACTTTCTTTTAAGCATATTGAAATGACTAGACATGCTTACTCAGTGAACATTTTTATGTTTGGTTGTTTTTACTCTTATTACTAGTTCTTCTACCCTTCTGCTCCCCCACGTACTCATTCATTCAGATTGTGTGTTAGATGTTGGCAATATAGCCTTAACCTTGATAAATACATTGTCTGTCCTGGTGACTATGTAGTTTAATGAGGAAGACAGTAAGAAAATAGTTAAAAATATGTTGAAGTTACACAGAGGAAGTATAGCATACCTGTAAGAGTTTGTAACAGAGAACCCTAATGTATTTGGCTCAGCATCTATGTAGGTTGCAGACAGAGGGAGAGGGAGCAGTGACATGAGGCTTGAGATGTCATCATAGGCCAGATTATGCCTATCATCGTAGGTAAGAAAGGATTTTGTTTTTTATCTTACGGGTAGTTGGAAGCTGATAAAGCTTTTAAACAAAGGAGTGTGGTGATCAGATTGCATTTACAGAAGATCCCTGTGGTTGCACTATAGAGAATCATTTGGAAAGAACTAATGGAGTAGATATGGAAGCAAGAGGTGATGATAGCTTGGACTAGGGTGATAACAATAGGAAATAAGGCAGATTTAAGCAATATATAGGTGGTAGAATCTAGAGTTAAGATGAGGTGTCTGTTTAAATGGTGGGTAGATTGGTTAGGGAGAAGAAAAGTAAAGCATAACATTCTAATGGCTTGAACAGCAAGATGGTGGTACCATTTATTATGCCATAAATATATAACATACAATTAGGACAAAGGATGAGTTAGATGGAGATTTTGTTATTATCTAAGTTAATTAGAATAGCAAAGAAAAATGTAATGTATTAGTATTAAAAATAATATCTGGGTCCAAATCCAAAAACTGAACAGTCATCATTTGGAATTGTATGTTGCTAGTTCAGGAAGATTTCTAAACTTGTCAGATGTTGTAATAGTTATGTTTGTGAGAACCCAAAAATCCAAGTTTCTGTATTTGCTCTTTAAACAAAAACACATGTAAGGGAATGATCTCAACAGTTCCTTGTTCACGACTTGGATTGTATAGTGACCAGAATTTGTCTTTTGGAACTTGCAGAGTTTTGTGTTTTTGACCTGATGAGTAAATCTCTATTATCTAAAATTGTGCTATTGTTTTTCATGTAGAAGATTTAAGGGAAACTATCCTTTTTTAAAAGTGGAAGAATGAAAAGTCCATGGAGAGAGCCTATCTTTATGATACCTAGAAGAAATAGGAAGAGCATATTTCTTTGTTGTAGTAGAGACTGTTTCTTTGTGTAATGGATCAACAAAGCATGTCTCTGTCAAAAACATACAATTTAGGGGAAAGTATTCAGTTGTTTAGTATTATCCTGGCCCTTGTGGGTTTGTAAGTTGTGATCCCTGTCTTAATTCTTTGCTTTATTTTATACCTCTTATGGCATGCGTTTTGTATTGTGGAACTAAGTGTGGTCTTTCATAGTTTTAATCAGATATTTAGCTATTGAGTTAGAGAAAGAATCAAGTTTTGAGATGATATCATATAAGGCAAATCCATTGTGTTTAAGTTTAATGATACAATAAATAATAAATTTGCTATACTATTTTGGATCCCTTAGTGTGCTAAGTGCTGTGAAAAGATCCCAGGGAGTCAGTGAAGGGATAGAAATTGTTGGGTAAGGAATAAAAAGGAGCATCTATAATGTAGGAAATGTATGTAGCCTTTATCTTTCAGTACTGAGCCCAGTGGTCAACTGATTGGGTACAATTGAGGCATCCTCATGTATAAAATAGACACATAGTACTGTGATGCAGAGCAGAGCAATTTCGAGCCAAGGCAGTATGGTGGGGTCTGAAGTAGACCACATTGGGGCTTCAAGAGGCTATGGTTAAGTAATAATAAGGATTTCTGGTTTTCTTTTTTTTTTTTTTCCTACAAGTAATAGAGAAACCTTGGTTGGGGCTTAGAGGTAATGACTCTAGAAGACATCAGATATGCACATTAGAAAAAAATCACTCCATTAAAGTCTTCCTGCCTTTAAGCACTGTCTTCCAGCATGTTGTCCCATGATCCCAGGATTATGTCCTTTTTCCTAACTAGCCAGTCTTTATAGCATAGTTTATAAGACCCTTTACAATCTGGTCATTGCCATATTTTCTAGTCTTATCTTCCCCTGACTTGACCCTGCAACTTTGTGCCCTAGCAGTATGAATCTGCTGGGATTTACTTGAGTTTGTCATTCTGTTTTATGCCTCTGTAAGTCACAATTCGTTTTTAAAACTCATCTTCAGGTGTTTCTTCTGAGTTTTTCTTCATATTGGATTGCCCAGTAACACTAGCAGCAGTGGCAAACACTTAAAACATAATGTGCCCCAAACTTTTATAAATCCCTTACATCTATTAACTCACAACAACTCCATGACGTAGATACTATTATCATTCTCATCTTATAGATGAGGAAATAGTAGTTATGGAAATCTGCATCAAAGATGAAGAGCAGGATTTGAACCAAGGCAATCTGGTTCAGATCTTGTTTTTCACTAAGTATGTTCTACTGCTGTCATCCTTTCAAGCTCTCTGTATCTTTATGTTATGCATATTTCTATTTTTACATTTATTGGGCTTGTTTGTTTGTTTGTTTGTTTGTGATACTAGGGATCAAATTCAGGGCCTTACACATTGCTAGGTATGTGCTCTGCCACTCAACTACATCCTCAGCCCTTGTGTGTATAATTGTTACCTTGTTCTTTTACACCTTTCAATGCAGAGGGAGAAAGTGACAGTGGAAAGTAGCAGGGATTTGGGTAGAGGATGTATATTTTGCCTAAAAGCCCTTTCATTCAAATTAAAAAACAAACTATGTTGCTAAAAGAACATCCTTTGAAAAAGATTCAGTTTTTTTTATTATAACATATAACATTGTAAATGCTTAAATGTTTATTTACTGAAATTTAGTTTATGTCCCACTCTCAGGTAATCAAGGGAGATGAGATTAACCCTAAGGTATGGTAGTGGTTTATTAGAACCCATTAATATTTTGTTAATGGTTCTGTTCAAGAGCTATTGAAGGACAAGAGCAGAAATGCTATGTATGGTTAAAAATGCTTAGGGCTCGATTTGTCCTTTTTAGCTTTATTTTTCTCTTCTATTCTGTCTCCAGTGTCCACTACCAGTTGGTTGTGTGGCTTTATATTGGTCAACATGTATTCAGATACAATGTGCTCTGAGCAATAGACTCAGAGCGACAGACTGCCCAGATGAGGTTCCACAATGTGATATGAAGTCAAAGATCCTTTCCCTTCTTTGTAGAATTAAGATAACTTTGATTTTATAGCATTTGATCTCATTTAGATTTTTGTTAAAAAGTATTTCAGCAGTATCTGATGCAGGGTTTTTGCTTTGTTGTTGTTTTTATCTGCTTATTTTTGTCTTAACCATTTCAAGCTTTGGATACTCAAGACTTTAGAGGGAGAACCTGGCTTTTGATTATGTTGGCTTTTTATAAAATTTGAATTATATAAGATTTAAATGAGTTTGCTACCAAGGGAAAAAATGCCCAGAGCAAGGTTAAAACAGTTTCTCTGCTCAGTCCCCTTTAATTCTCAGGAAGGGATCAAGAAATGGGAAAAGGACATAGTGCTTGTCTTAGCTTGGGCTGTCATAACAAAATACCTACATTAAATGTCTGTCAGTTCTAGAGGCTGGGGAATTCCAACTCAAGAAGCTTACCACTCACTTCCTGGGGAGGACTATCTTCCTGGCTTGCAGAAGGCTGCTTTGTCCTTGTGTCATCACCTAGTAGATGAGGAGAAAGAGCAAGCTGTCTTGTGTCATGGCCTCATCTAGCCTAGTTATCTTCCAAAGGCCCCATTTCTAGATATCCTCACACAAAGGGTTAGGGCTTCAATGTATGAATTGCAAGGGATGGAGGGGGAGGTCACAGTTTAGTTCACTGCAGTGCTGTAATAATTTTTTGGTGACTTTCTTGTATCTTAAGATTTTGGCCATTATCAATAAAGCTTTGTAGACTCTTCCCAGAAGATGAAAATTTTTCTTTTAAGTTTTGTCTTACTATAGTTAGCAGGTTCTTAAAAATAAAAACTCCAGATGTTAGGGTAACAATTTCCAGACACCACATCCTCTCCTCCAGATTATATTACTTTGGCTTCTATAGAGACCCTACCCCCTTCTCTATTCCACCCTCCCCTTCTTCCAGGTGCCCTTTCATGGTTTCATTATTGTCATATCAGTTTTAGTGTGGGCTTTTCTTTTTTGCAGGTGGAGACCACGTGGCTTTGCAAGGCCTGAGTTAATGAAGATCTTACATAATTCACTGGATGATTCCTTCAAACGCCTTATTTATCCTCTCCTCTGTAGAGAGTTCAGGTATGCATCTTGTCTTGTTTAATTTTGTGTACTGTTCATTATCACATGCAGTACTAGTCTCATTTGAAGCATGTAGTAAATATTTGTTTTGTCTAACCAAGCCAAAGAACTTAGGCAGAATCACAGTCTTAAATTTAAGCCATGATTTCAATCCTAATTGTGATATGCTCTTTAAACCTTGACCCCTTAATATATACCCCTTACAGTTCTGCAGTACTAGCCTTGCAATTTGACAACTAAGCCAAACAAATGATTTTATTGATTAGAGATTTGACTTAGAAGAAACTGACTGAGAAGTTAACGGAGAAGTTACTTGGAGACTCTTTCTTTTTGAGGCACAAGAGCCAAAGAAAGCTTAAGGAAATCAGTGGAGGACATGATAAATTTACTACTATGAAGAGATAAAGTTAATGTATATGTTTTTATCTCAAAGTGGGAATTGTTTGGGTGAAAAAGTTACCAGCAATGATAATCCTCAGGAGATGACTGAATGAAATAGCCATGTCAGTGGACTAGTAGAAGTTCTAATAGTAATAACAACAAAATTACAAAGGAGATGAGGCATAGAATTGTTTTTAGAGAAGATGGAAAGAAAAGAAATTTAAGGAGGCAAAACCCCCTGTTCTCAGTTCTTTGTAGCCTGTCTTGATTTTTTAAAATTAGGCATTCGCTCATATATGTGTACTACATTTTCTGTGTGCTATGGATTTGTTTCATTCTCACTTAAAAAAAAAAGGTGTTTCAGCAAGAGCTTCCTGGGGACTGTGGTCTTCTAGCCGTCCTGTTAGTTTCACTATAATTTCTAGCAGAGTGTAATGTTTATCTTTTCTTGGATTTGGCCTTTGAATTCAAAAGTGTTCAGAGCAGGGAATGAGCTGGTACTATTAAAAAGTAGAATATTCCATCGTCTAATTTCTTTTTATCAATGACATTCAGTCTCCTATTTCATCCTCTTTGGCTTAGATGTCACCTAAAAATAAAGTTCCTTTTGGGATTCTGTTTTACTTCAAGTCTGAAGTAACATCTCTTGCTTTTGAGTACTAAAGCAAAAATTTTAAAAGTAAGGGATTCTGTTCTTCATGAAGGAAAAACTTATCTAAAATTTCAGTTTTGTCCATTGTTTATATTGTCTAGTGGCATTTTGATATTTTTGTATATATTTGATTTGAGTGACTTCATTGCATGAAGAGTAATTTCATCGATATTAAATGTAAGCAGTTTTGTGTGTTTAATATATAATCCTTTTTTATTTTCATTAGTGATGGGAAAGCAAGAGTACTTTTTCCCCGTTTTCTACAATACCTATGGTTAAAACAATACATCTTAATCAGTTTCTAAGTTAGTTTGTAGACATGCCTAGCAATGTGTTTCTTAATAGAAATACTTATCTGAGCAGCAGTTTAAAAAGAGAATACCACTTGCTTTTATTATTTTTTGAAGGAAAAACTTTATTTCTCTAATTAAAAAGAAATGTGGCCTAGTGTTAGAAAAATGGAAAGAAAATCAGTAAAGTACAAAGGGAAAAAAAAAACATGTAATATTACTACCAAGAAATAACCATAGTTAACCAGAATTTTCTCCACTTGTGTGTGTATTAAAAGAGATCATAGTCCAGTGTGGCAGCACACACCTGTAATTCCAGCTACTGAGGAAGCGGAGATAGGCCTGTTGTGGTCTAAGACTAGCTCAGGGAAAAGCATGAGACTCTATGTGAAAAACAAACTAAAAGCGAAAGAACTGGAGGCATGGCTCAAGTGGTAGAGTACTTGTCTAGCAAGTGTGAGGCTCTGAGTTCAAGCCTCAGTACTGCAAGAAAAAACAAAACAACAACAGTAAAAAAGCAAAAATGAGCTCATATAGACTATATTACATTTCAGTCATTTTATTCGTTGATTATATCATATGTATAGCTTACTTCTGCATTTCTTAGTTCCATGACTATCATTACCATTCATCTATGTGTCATTCTTTCACATCTATTCTTATCAGTCCTACCTTGTCAGTTACCAGGTGCTGTATATTATATCTAAATTGTTACCTCTTTTATTATATCTAAATTGTTTCTCCATTTTATCTCCATGGTTACCGTCTTAGTTTAGGACACGATCATTTCTTGTCTGGATTACTGTACTGGGGTCATAGATGATCCCTGTCTTCTGCCTTGTCTATCCCAGTAGAGACTCTACATTGCCATTTTAAAATCCAGTATCATCATTTCACACATATCTACTTAAAATCTTCAGTGGATAGTCTTCGTTTCCAAGAAAGAATCAAGGTTCTTTAGAAGAACATACATGATCCTGTGTGATGTTTTTTTCTTGGCTCTACAACTTTTATGTCTTTGCTATTTGGTTTTTACTTTATTATATAAAATTGCTTACTTTTTCTATGATTAGCCATGAGCCTTTATGTGCTACTTCCATTATCTGAGATATCTTCTCCCTGCTTTCCATCTACTGTCTCCATCTTTGTTTGTTTAATACTATTGCTTTTCCTTCTTTTTTTTCCTGAGAAGACATCACTTCTAGAAAGTTTTCCCAGCTTAGCTATCCCTCTGATGGGTTCCTGTACTTATTATTTTAGACTTACCCATGTATTTTTGTGTTTTTTCCTCTAGACAGTGGTCTTCAGGACAGGGATCTTGTGTTTTCAGCTTTGTATCTATTATACCAGTCATGGTACCTTGTGTAATAAGACTGTCAACAAATGCTTACCCAATAAATAAAAATAAAACATGAAGATTCACAGATACCTGTAATGATACATTTTCATCTTGTTTGGCTGAACACAGAGAGGATAACAGTGAAATTTTGGAGAAGATGAGAGAAATTGCATTAAGCAACAGAAGCAAAAATTAGTTGGTTGTGTGCATCTTCATATATGTAGATATTCTGCCTCATACCACTACAAAACATGCTTTGAATTACTTTTGTAATCTCAATTTTCTTGCTACCAATGGCATGTATTTTTACCTGGTCTAATAGGGAAGACATACTTTTAATAAATTCTTACGACTTCATAAATAATATGTTGAGTGCTTTTGTAAAGTAGAGGAATGGCATAAAACTTAGCTTCTGGCTGCCTTGAAGCCCGTAATAGACACATATTTTAATCCTAAGAAGTCTTAAAAGTATACTTTTTAATAATTTCTCTGGATAAAACTGCAAGTTATGTACATGAGTCATGGTTCTGGACTAACTATTAGTATCTGTGGTGTGGCCATGTCACTGAGAATGATAAGGGGTAGATGGAATATGAAATTGAGAAGATGAGATATTTATAGATGAAGGTATAAAGCTAAATATTATTGGAGGAGGCTTCTTATGATTCAATAATTTGTTTTTCTAATTTGTGTTTATATTTAATAAACTTTAATTTTGACATCCTATGTATCCTATGATATCCAAATCTTTTCCTTTTTTTTTTTTTGTGGTACTGGGGTTTGAACTCAGGGCCTTGCATTTGTATGCAGGTGCTCTACCAATTGAACCATGTCCCCAGTCTGACAGTGAAATCATTATACAAATGATTATGTCTTTCTCACATACATACACAGTTACACATATGACTTGTGTATAACAGAGAGCAGACAGAAAAGGAAGGTGGGTATGACATGTTTATAAGGTTTGGTTCAAAATTGTGGTATTGTGTATTATTGAGATTGACAAATAGATTCAATATAATTTTTGTATGTGATGTTTTTCCTCTTAAGTTGTTGTAGTAAATGCTCCTGTGAGAAATAACTGTACAAAATAAATATGCCTTTCCAAAATTTGTGTGACTAAAAATCTAAGTGCTTGTTTTTCCTTTTTTTGAAGAGCCAAACTGACATCAGATGCAGAGAAGGAATCAGTAATGATGTTTGGACGGAACCTTCGTCAGCTTCTTTTAACCAGCCCTGTTCCAGGCCGCACCTTGATGGGAGTAGATCCTGGCTATAAACACGGTTGCAAATTAGCTATAATTTCTCCTACCAGTAAGTTTTCTTTCAGATTTTCACATAAGAGTTGTTTAGTTGATTATTAAGTTTCACTTCATAGATTTCATGAGGATTTGGAAATAATGTTGATTTCTGAGGCTTAGGAAATGTTTTCCATAGGGATATCAGAATCAGAGAATCAAACTTCGTATTTCCCTTACTTGATCAATTAACACATTGGATCCCTTTCTCATATCTCAATGGAGATACTGAGAATTAATTAGGCTCATATTTGAACTTTTACCCCCCAGTTTCTTTCAGTGTATTGCAATGTGTTTATATGTGATACATTTTAATTCTTTGTATATTTTAAATACTCAAAGACACTGTATTGCTTTGTCCAGTTAATATTTTTTTCTGTTTTTTGTATACTTCCTATTACTTTTCATTTCTTTCTGCATTTTTGTGTTTCCATTTGAAGACATTTCTTTTTGCATGAAAAACTACACTACTTTTTTTAGTGGTACTGAGGCTTGAATTCAGGGCTTCATGGTGCTTGCTAGGGAGGCATTCTACCACTTGAGCCACAACCTCCAGCCCTTTTTACCCTGGTTACTTTGGAGACAGGAGCCCACATTTTGCCCAGGCCAGCCTGCACCAATGTATTCCCATTTACTGTTCCTGGTAGCTGAGATGACAGGCATGCCACCTTGCCCTGCTATTGATTGAGATGGGGTCTCATGACAGTTTATCTAGGCTGGCCTCAAACCTCCATTCTCCTGGTTTTTATTGTTAATTTTTCAATTATATTTTTTGTTGAGAAGTTAGCCAAAAATCTTAATATTATTAAGCCATAACAATATGAAAGTAATATGCCATTTTTCCTATGAATGCTAAGATTTTCATATGATGTGCTTATGTTGTGTGTGTGTATATGTACATGTGAATGAATTCTTGTTGAGTTGTTGTAGCTTCTAGCACTCTTCCTGGAATTTCAGTTATCTGTATATTATACCTTTCAGTCTTTTCTATTTTCCATTCTTTTGTTTTATGTTTTATTACTTGTTTAAATTTATTAATCCTCTAATCTGGTTTGTCTAATTTACTATTAAATACATCTATTTAGTTCTTTATTTATGTTATTGTTTTTTTCCAGTTTTAGAATTTCTCTTTAATACTTACTACAGTTTTCTGGTGACCTTCTTTACTGTTTAACTTTCCTTTTATCTTGTAATGTTTTACCTTTTTTTATCATATGTTTCTCTTACAACATTTACTATTATGTTTATTTGTTCTTTGTTTCTTTTAGGTTAGATTTTCATTTCTCCAATAATTTTTCTTTCATGTCATCCTTGGACAGAGGCCATGCTAATCTGTATTGTTTCTTTTCTTTCTTTTTTTGTTTTTGCATTTTTATTAGCATATATTAGTTGTACAAGGGAGTTTCATTGTGACATTTAGATATGTGCTTACAATGTATCTTATTTAGATTCATCCCTTTCTTCCCCCTTTCTTAGAACAGGTTTCATTGTTCTGTTTTTATACAGGTATACACAAAGTGTATCCACCATATTTGCCGTCCTTTGCCCTCTCTGTTTACCTCCCCCTCCTACTGGTACCCATCTCTAGATAGGACTTATTTTACCTTCCTCTCCTTCATTTTTTAAGTTTGTATTAATTGTTAATTGGGATTTTGCCATGGTATAACACATATGTATACATTGTATTTTAATCAGATTAACCCTGTTACTTATTCTTTCTGTATCTCCTTGCTCCCCTATTATTCAACAGCTTTAAGTGCATTTTGTTATACTATCTTCATATACAGATGCAATGTTTAGTGGATGTGTTACAGAATTGAGCCCTATTACTTTTTATATCAAATTAATTCCTGAGTTATCTCATTTCATTCTTTAAGTTTTCTTATTCTGATGTGTATTATAATGTTTCTGGTTTTTTTTTTTTTTTAAGGCTCATTCTCATATATTAGGTTTTGTTTTATGAGCACATCTTTCTGTAAGAACATTATACTAGTCTTTTATTTCCTGTGTTAAAAAATAATCATTCTGATAGAATTTGACCATCCTTTTCTAATGCTTAGTTTTATATAAAACTGGTTTTACTGATCTTTTAGAAAGGAGAGACTGGGACAGGAAAGATTTTCTAGCTGTGTACCTGTAGAACTTTGCTTCTGTTTTCTCCCAAATTGTTAAGGAAAACAAACCACCACCAACAAAACCAAGCAAACACAACTCTGTGGATATGGAAAAAGCCTTACACTTTCTGAAATCTGCTTCTTTGTTGCTTTTTCCTCTTTTATCTGGGCTTTCTTTTTCCTTTGCTCATACTATCCTTGCTTTGCTCAATTTGGAGGTAATTCCCAGCTGTTTCTCTTCATTGTGGGATTTTGTCTTGAAAGGGGTCTTCTACCTTGTTAGTTTCAAGAGTTCACAGGGATTGGAGTTTTTCAGTCCTTTCAGAATTTACTGGACAACTTTTATACTTACTCTCTCAGTTTCAGCTCCTGTTCTCAAGCTGACTGTTGTGACTTCCAGAGAAGTACTTTTTGACATTTTGGGAATCCCATCATTGCCAGGGCCATCACATACTCTGTTCCTGCTTTCTGGTTATTCCCACACAGATGTACCTGTACAGAGGAAGAGACCAGTTCATTATTCCCACTCGTTCAAATTTTTGGTGTTTTGGGTAATTTTGTTGCCTTTGTTACAGATACAGTCATGGGTTTTGGTTTTGTTATCCTACTTTTTATGCTATTCATTTGTATAGCAGATGGGAAATATATTTTATCAAGGTTTTTTCCTGCGTGTATTGAAATATATAGCTTTTATCCTTTACTGTGTGACTATGGTGAATTATTTTTAGTTTTTTTTTTATGTCAAATTACACTTTCCTTAAATAAATTCAACTTGGTCACGATGCTTTCTTCTGTATATGGTGGTAGATCAGTTTGCATATTGTATTGCTATAAGCAATCAATAATATTTTTAGAACGTTTTTAAGCTTACATTCTCAGTCTGCGTTGGTGAGAGTTTTCTAGGAATTTATTCATGTCACCATTTAATCTAAATCAACGTGCAGTTATTTATGATAGTCTCTCTTTTCTTTCTTGTACTTTTCCTTTTTTCTAACATGGTCTCACTGTGTAACTCAGGCTAGCCTCAAACTCATGATCCTCCTTTCTCAGTCTCTAGTTTTGGGATTATAGGCAGAGTTACCATGCCTGTCTATTTCTATTTGTATATTCCTTTTCCATTTCTAATGTAATTTATGTCTTCTACTCTTTTTGTTGATTGATATTGTTGAAAGTATATGTTTTCTTAAGTTTTTTAAATTTTATTTTATTATTCATATGTGCATACAAGGCTTGGGTCATTTCTCCCCCCGCCCCCACCCCCTCCCTTACCACCCACTCTGCCCCCTCCCTCTCCCCCCCCACCCCCTCAATACCCAGCAGAAACTATTTTGCCCTTATTTCTAATTTTGTTGTAGAGAGAGTATAAGCCATAATAGGAAGGAACAAGGGTTTTTGCTGGTTGAGATAAGGATAGCTATACAGGGAGTTGACTCACATTAATTTCCTGTGCGTGTGTGTTACCTTCTAGGTTAATTCTTTTTGATCTCACCTTTTCTCTAGTTCCTGGTCCCTTTTCCTATTGGCCTCAGTTGCTTTTAAGGTATCTGCTTTAGTTTCCCTGCGTTAAGGGCAACAAATGCTAGCTAATTTTTTAGGTGTCTTACCTATCCTCACCCCTCCCTTTTTTTTTTACTTTAAATTTTGTTGATCCTTCTGTGTGTGTTTTTCTATTTTGTTAATTTCTGCTTTTAACTTTATCATTTCTTCCTTTCTGCTTTCTTTGGGATTATTTGATTGTCACTTCCAGACTTCATAAGCTATTTACTTATAGCTCACTTAGTTTTATTGCTTAAATGGTTCCCCTCAGATTTTTATAAATAACTTTAATTGAAATAGTGATTGCAATTAAAGTAAAATATTTTCTGTATAAGAATACAGAAAAGCTCACAGTTCTTAAATACTTAGCTTGAAGAATTATACAAGGTAAATAAATTAATAAATAAGTTCATATATCTACCACTGAAAAAGAAAAAAAAAGAATCATATCACAACAGTGTGTGATTTGTAGTGAATATTCAGTTAGTGTTAGCTTTTACAATTATTAACATTAGGTGTTATAACCATTTCTCTTTTAGTTATCTTAGTATATTATCCTGTTAATAATGTTTAATGGAGCAAAATGAAATCCTGTGCTTTGACTATGAAGTATTTCAAAGTTCTTAGGGAAAATCTAATATAGTGAATATGGATGATTCAGACTTCACTTTAAAAGACCTGCCAGTTCCCTTTATACTTTATGATTGCAAATTGATATTTTGTAATTCTTATAAAATGGCTTTTTTTCTTCATTTTTTTAAAGGTCAGATACTTCATACTGATGTGGTTTACTTGCATTGTGGACAAGGCTTCCGAGAAGCAGAGAAAATAAAGAGACTTTTGCTGAATTTCAAGTATGAAAATAAGTAATCTTTCAAGTACTTCAGTGGCTCAGCCAATGAGAGGTGCATTTGGAGGGAGGGATTAAGGGAAGTGCCTTGGTGAGAAAAAGAAGGAATCATGTAAAATAATACTGGGGCAAATTGTTGGAGAAATCTACATATGGAGACTAGAGAAGTGCTGGTCCTGTCCTCTGCCCCCATCACAAATAGAGGTGGTGATATGGGGAGAAGTAAGCATTTCTTTCCTTCCTTCCTCCCTCCCTCCTTCCCTCCTTCCTTTCCTTTCCTTTCTCCCTCCCTCCCTCCTTCCTTCCTTCCTTCCTTCCTCCTTGTTTCCCTCCTTCCTTTAGGAATGTATATGGTAGTAGTTAGAAGCCCTAGAAATTAACAACATATTAAATGATTCAGTTGTAATGTCTTTATTATGACTTCGAATGCTCCTGAGTTTACTTGTGTTTTATTTTGGTTCTTTGTAGATGGGAAGAAAGCTATATGACTGTTCTTGAGATTATATGATAGTAAACCATTTCTCCACTGCCTCCTGTATCAAATGCAGGGGTAGTGTTTTTATTCTATTTAATTCTGTATTTCCCCTGTGAAATAACGGAGAGATTGTGTGAATATACGAGAGAATAAGAGCATTGTATAATGATGTATTTGTGCATTCTGTACATTTTTCTCTGCTTGATTTCAAACATGCCTTGAACTCATCCAGTTTCTTATTCTGTTTCTCCCTTGAAGCTGCAGCACAGTGGTGATTGGAAATGGAACTGCCTGTCGGGAAACTGAAGCTTACTTTGCTGACCTGATAATGAAAAATTACTTTGCACCGCTGGATGTTGTTTACTGGTAAGGATGTTAAGAATATTTGTTTTCTTGAGAGGCATGGGAACGTCTAAAGTTCCTTTTGTGATGAATTCTCCCTCCTCTTTTTAAGATACATGTCTTTCAAATCACCACTTGATATTCATAAGAATTTTACAAGAATGATTAGAGCAGGAAAGGGTCCTGAAATTTCTTACTGCAGCTGCATATGGAGGCTCAGTTAATTGCATGGGGTCTAGAGTGAACATGGTCGGAGAGTTCTAGTTAACCATTAACTAATAAGTGAATGGTATAGCAGGCTAGCAGCCATAGACTGTGATAACTTAGCCTTCTTTTCCCAAAGTTTTTAAGCTTATAAATCATTGCCCTTCAGAATGGAGAGCAAAAGTAAGTATTACCAATTAAAAAGTATTTCTGTATCTTTTACTCCTGTTTTTCTTTTGTAAAAAATACTGTTTTCTTTTGTGTAAGGAATGAAATTTGTTGAAATGTTGAAATAACTTGGCTCCTTAAGAGGCATTTGCATTCATATTCATTGTAGCCAGGCTTCCTTCACTGACGCCTCCTGAAATCCAAGGTCCATGCTCTTTATTTGTCTCTACCTCCTTCACATTCAGTTCATTACTTATGGGTTTATCTTAATAAGTATTTATTAACTTTGTAAATGTTTATTAATATTAAACATTAAACTATTTTTAGTAAGTCTTCCCAAGATTGTTGACCAGAATTACTATAAGTTGAGTATATGTATCAGAACCACTTCACATTTTGTGTTTTTTTTTTTTTTAATTTTGAAAAATTCACATATGCATAATGAGATATCCTAGAGATGGGACCTAGGTCTAAACACGAAACTTATTTTTGTTCTCTCTCTCTCTCTCTCTCTATACATATATATATACCATATGCACATAGCCTAAAGGTAATTTTATGCAGTGCTTATGGTGTTCCTGCATTTTGATTGGGATCTATCACATAAGGTCAGGTATTGAATTTTCTACTTGTGTTGTCAAGACAACACTCAAAAAAGTTTCAGATTTTGAAGCATTTCAGATATTAGATTTTTGGATTATGGATGTTTAGCTCATATAGACAAAAATCATACAATGTTGCTTTAGTAAATGTTTATTAAATCTGTGAACTACTCTTCTGGTTTTTGCAACTGAAAAATTATAGGCTTATGTTTTCCCAGAGATAAATGATAGTTTTGGGTGATTTTAGAAATGATTACATAGAACTGTATATTTAATGAACTATGAAAGAACTGAAAGTAATATTTAATGTTTCTACTCTGAAAGCTGCAATAAATAATGAATTTGAGTAGGCAAATATAGAAAATAAGAGAAATTAATTTTGCTGCTTACTGACCCCTTTCATGAGAACAGTGAAAGAATTAGAAAAGAGATTGAACTAAGAAGGTAGAATGGTATGTGATGAAGGAATGATCAAGGGCTGAAGATGTAGTTTTGGAGGTTAGATGTGCACCAGGGACCTAAGCCAGATCATATTAGGAAAAAAGGCCTGGTACTAGACATCTGGGAATCATACGTGGAAGCTTGTTCTTCCTTAGTCATTCCAGTAGGGTACCAGCCTTTCATAGAAGGAAAACACAATTTAAGGAATCAACACATGTATGTAAATGGAAAAATGAGAACTGTTGAAACTATTTCAGGAGTGGGATGAGGGGAGGATAAAGGAGAATGATGGAGAGGGTGAGTTCATGTGTGATATATTTGATATATTTTAAGAACTTTTGTAAATGCCACAGTGTACCCCCAGCACAACAATAAAAACAAAAAGAAAAGGAAATCATAGCTTTGTTGCTTAAGATAAGTTCATGTACCTTCTTACAGAGTTTCTAACTTAATTATGGAGAATAGCTTGAGCATTAAAAAGTTAATTCATTTGTGAAAAATGCCTGATAGTGAAGCTAATGAAAATTGTTTGCCTTAAAACAAAAAAGGTCCACCTTTTACTTTAGAGGAATTGAAAATTCTAGGTTAATTAGAAAATATGGGTATGTGGTAGGATTTTCTATTTTCTATTGCCTAAATTATTATTTATAGCTTAAGAGTGTATTGCTAGCTCTTTCTTATATGTATATATTATGAAAAAGACTCACACTTCTTTTTTGTTTGCTTGTCTGTGACAATGGGGATTCAATCTGGGACCTCACATATACACACATACTAGGCAAATGCTCTGCTCCTGGAGCTGTGCCTTAACCTGTTTCTTTTGTGTTTTGTTTTTGAGACAGGGTCTCGCTACCTTTTGCCTAGGCTGGCCTCAACCTTGTGATCCTCTTGCCCTGCTCTCCAGTAGCTGGGATGACAGGCCTTTACCACCTGCCTGAATGACACTATGTTTTATATCCTTTTCCTCACTTAATTTATTGTCATCATTTTCTCATGCCAATAAACATACTTTACACTATAATTTTTGTTAACTTTTTTTAATTTTTAAATTTATTTTTGGATTATCACATGTTAATAATATGGGAGAATTTCATTGTGATAGTTCCATACTTTTGTACAGTATACTCAAACAAGTGGTGCTACCACATCATTTAAAAACCACTGCAGATACACTCTTGTGTGGTTATACCCTATTTTAGTCATTCCTTATTTGATAGCTGGGGTTTTCTAATCATTACCACTCTGCACTAAGCTGAAGTGAATGTTTTTATGCTTAATCTTTGTGGAATGTGGGTTTAAACAGACACCTTACAACTCTTCCTAACTGAACGGTGCTGAAATACCAAACCCAATATAATAAATCAATTCTGTACTGGATATCTCCCTCCTCTCAATATGTTGGCTAATTAGGGATCTGTTATCTAGAAACATTTATATCATCAGGGCATATAAAAGTCCAGATGGAATGGGAAGAAAAAAAATTATTGTGAAATAAAATATTATATATATATAATATGAATATATTATATATATTTCAGCCTTCTCACTCTGTCCTTCATGGCTTTTAACCTCTCTCTTTTTATTTTCTATCTCTTGTCTGTCTGGGCTGATTTGACATTGATTTCTCCAAGTCTTTTCCCCAGTACTCTCTAGCTTTTTCTTTAGCTGTCAAACCCATCTATTGAATTTTTAATTTCAGTTATCATGTCTTTCACTTTTAGAAATTCTGTTTGCTAGTTTTTTAGCTTTATTGAAAGATAATTGACATGATAAACTGTACATATTTAAAGTCTACAGTTTCATGAGTTTGACATATGTATACTCCCATGAAACTATCACTGCAATCACAATAATGAACACATCCATTACCCCCCATCCAATTTCCTGGTATACCCTTTAATCTACCTTCCCCTGCCCTCCCCTGTCTTCTCCTTTGCTGGGCAACATCTGATCTATTTTCTATAATTATACAAAGTTACAGTTTTTATTTTCTACACTTCCATACAGTGGAATCATAAATGTGATTTTTTTTCTTACTAGTTTCTTTCAGTCAGCATAATTACTTTGATCTTAATCCATATTGCTGCATATGCCAGTAACTGTTCTTTTATTACTGAGTAGTGGTCTATTCTACTGTATAACTATATTATAATTAGTTTATTTATTCACCTGACATTTGGATCCTTGCCAGTTTTTGGCTATGACAAATAAAAGAGCACAATTATTTTTGAACAAAGTCTTTGCGTGGACATTTACTTTCATCAGTTTTTTCTGGGGGGAGGTGGCAGTACTGGGGATTGAACTCTGGGCCTCTCACTTGCTGGGCAGATATCCTGCGACTTGAGCTATTCCACCAACCGTTTTGTATTGGCTGTTATTTTTGAGATAGGCTCTCAGTTCATGCCTGGGCTGGCCTGGATAGTTATCCTTCCAATCTCTGCCTCCGAAGTAGCTAGGATTACAGGCTTGAGCTACCCACTTTGCCCAGCTGCTTTCGTCTTTCTTAGGTAAATAATCAGACTTGGAAAAGCTGTCTCATATAGTAGGTATATGTTTAGTTGGAGAAACTGCCAAACTATTTTCCAAGGTGGTGGTACCATTTCATATTCCAATTAGCAGTACATCAAAGTTCCAGTTTCTCCATATACTGACAGGAATTACGAAATTATGGCTGGTGCTTGGTATAACGGGCCTTTTTAATTTAGCTATCCTAATGGATGTGTAATATCTCATCGTGGTTTTAATATGTATTTCTGTATTTTCCTAGTGATTAATGACATCAAGCATCTTTGTTTATTTATTTTCCATCATGTATCTTTGGTGAAGTATCCATTCACATTTTCCCATTTAAGAAATTGGATTATTTTTTCTTTTTCTTTCTTTGCTTCATCTTCTGCTTCTTCTTTCTTTCTTTTTTTTTTTTTTTTACAAAACAGAATCTTTTGAATAGAAAAATATTTAAATTTTGATGAAGTCCAGTTTTTCAACTTTTAAAATAGATTTTGCTTTTTGTTTCCTATTTAAGAAATGTTCTGCCAGGCGTGGCAGTACATGCCTGTAATCCCAGCACTCAGGAGGCTGAGGCAGGAGGATCTTGAGTTCAAGGCCATGCTGGGTTATGTATTAAGACTCTGTCTCAAAATAAAACAAAAATTTGGCAGAACCAAGCTTTGTATGGTTTTGTTCTAGAAATTTTGTAATTTAACTTACTTATGTCTATCATTAAATTTTTAGAGAACTGATATCCATCCATTTAATTTTTGATTTCAGTTATTTTTTTCATCTTTAGATGTTCTAATTTTTTCAAATCTATGTGATTATTCTTATAAATGTGTTTTTAAACCTGTCTTTATTTAACTGTATTAAGCTTTGTATTTTGTAGTCTGCGTGATCATTCTAAGTGTCTGGGAACCTTGCAAGTCTATTTCTGTTATCTGTTATAACTGCTGGTTCTGCTTTGTGGCGCTTTGTTTCTTTTTCTGTTCAGTTTGTTGGAAAATTATTTTCATGGGGACTTTTTCTGTGGGAATTCACTGAGGCCTGTATTGATTGAAAGTTATTCAAAGAGGATATGCATTTGCCTCTGCCAGGCTCCTGTAGATACTACCAGTTT